CCCTAGAAGCACTCCACGTGCAACTCCTCGTGGAACGCCGAGAGGCATGTCTCCTCATGGAAGTCCACAGAGACGCAGAGGAAATCGAAGCCAGGATAGCGTGAGCGTTACTAGCTCTGAAGGAAACCGCACTCGGGGTCAGCAGAATGAAGTAGATCGCAGTGAATCTGCTTCATCGATCCAAAGCAGGGGTATGGCAGAAACTGATGCTAGCAAACCACCAAATGGTTATGAGGTTGAAGGCGACAAGAGTAAGCAGAGAAGATCAAGGTAACAAAAAAAAAAAAAAAAAATCTGAAACTTTAGGTATACTACAGTAACTGCTGTGATTGACCTTATCAGTCTTAAATTGTCACACAATTATATTTCACAATTATTTCAGACTTTTTCTAAAACGAATATTCTTGCGTATTTAGATATTTATTTTCAATTACCACTTTATTCAGTTAAACAAGGAATAGATATGTGTGTTTAAGATATTACATGTTGCCTCACAGCCAATCAGATGGGTGGATTTGAGGGCTCCCATGGTTAGCAGAACTGTGGGTCTTTAAGATTGACAGGATTAAACAACCTCTCAGCATTGCTTTAGTATTGATCCTATATCACTATAATATAAAATATGATGATGTTAATGTAATATATCATTTATGTGTATAAATAAAATATATTAACATGTTGACTGCCAAACCCTTTTCATAGGTTCATCCTATACGCCAAGTCATAAAGGGCGCCACCATAATGAAAATTATTCCCATTAACTGTAATGAAACACTAAAAAACAATATATTTATTTTTAATTTGTTACTTCCGGGTTCTTTCCTGAACCTCCTGGACAAGAATTTATGTTCGGGCAACCACTCCCAGCAATACAGTTGTGGTATGTTTAGGCAGATGTATACGTGAACTCGCGTCCGGGCACCCTGAGTGAACTCGGACGTGAGCTCATGTCCCTATTAGCGAACGTGATGATTTTAACAATAATCTAATATTATGATATTGATTAAAAAATACATTAATAACATAATATTCATAATACTAGTATTAAAAAAAATATATAATAGTGATATAATAAAAATATAAATGATATAGTTGTAAAATAAGAAAATGTAATGTGATAATATATAACATAGTATTTATTAATAATGTTATTTTGATAATAGAACAAATAATAATAGTAGTGGTACTAATAATAATACAGTAATTTTATAATGCTATAATGTTTTCTTTTATCCTAATAAGGCTTAAGAAGATGTTTCCCAGTTTCAAATCCCTTGATCGTAAAGTAAAATCTAAATCCGATGATAAATCCGCTACCCAGGAAAGGTATAACAAAGTGTCTTGCATCGTGGGATAATGTCATCTGTACTATATAAGCACTAACCTCATGTATGCGCCATGTAACTAACAATTTGACAATTTTTTTTTTAGTGTATGATTTCATGTGAAACTCTTTTTGTTGCAATTTATTATTTATGTTTACTTTTCTTTTCTTGTGATTGCTATTTTAGTTTCAAATACTACAGTATTCTATCAAAATTTGAAGTTTTCTTTTTTGAAGTTATTGAAATATAAAAGTAACAATATGCAATTGGGTAATCTTTTAAGGTAAACATTATTATTGTTATTTCCACATAGATTTATCCATTAAAAAAAAAGATTACAAACAAAACTGAAATTGTTAGAAGTTACAAATTCCATTGGTGAATCTAGGGATAGCAAAAGGGGCGCTCGCCCCTCGTAACCGCCCCCGGAAGCAGCCAGGGAAAAAAAAGTGTGAAATCATTTAGATAAAAGATTAAAATGGCTAAGGCTCCGAAGCTTCCACAATGGTAGAGGAACACCCCAAAACACTCTCAATCATAGATTCCATGCCCTTTAGACCCTAGGTTCTGCATTGCCATTCGGACCACCCCCCGCCAAAAAAAGATTCTGCATCTGCCAGTGTATTCAACCATTATTTGAGAGAGCCACATTCAAATTCACATTAAACTTAAAATTCAAGATAAAATTAGAACAAGTCTAACAAAACAAAACAGGATGCCTCATGTTGAAACCTGTTGACTCAATGAGGCCCTCAGAAATAGTACTTTAACCAAAAATTAGTACGTGAATAAAACATATAATAATTTTATTCCATTTAACAAATATTTTCTTTAAATATTTAATGTTCCCCTATTTGTATTTGAACACAAGACTCTCTGATTACCATTCTTTGAGATAAACCAGTCACGGTGGTACAATCTGTTTAAAACCAGGCCACGAGGTGAACTTTTTAGATATGACCCCTAATCCACTGCTGCAATTCTTGTCCAATATAACCCCAAGCGTGCCCAGATTTTCCTTTGAAATGTTTAGTTGAACATTGACTCCATAAGAAGACCAATACTCGATGGTAACTAAATTATGATTCCTATTTAGAATATCTCCTGGGGTTTTCTGCTATTAAAAGACACATTTGAATTCACAAGGTATTGCATATTATTACTACCATGCAATTAATATTTCATATGATGACTACTATGCAATTGATATTGGATAATACTACCATGGAATTAATTGAGAAACCATAGGTGAATATAATTTGAAGCTGCTCAAAAATTCAAAATGACAAATCCTTTTAATAAGCAGTGCTAACCAACAAAATATTATATTGGCTAATTCTCCAATTGTGGTATAAGGTTTCCCAAATCCAGACTTTGGTCATTCTCCCATCTCTCTGGCACTGTCACTGGAGAAAAGAATATTCCAAGGGAGTGCTCATTTTGGCAGTTGTACGAGTGGATTAATTATTAAAGATAATTAAATTTGTAAGAGCTGTTTGAAAATTGTCTTGAGAATAATGTGCCACCATCATCCCTACCCATATCCCAGGATGGATGCGTAGCGAGGGTAATTCCTCCTGGATTGGATATAAAAATAGTCCCGAGTATTTTTGGTTTGAATCCTCAAGGGAGCTACATTTTTTTTTAAATAACAAAATGAGTTATATAAATTGAAGGTGTAAAAAAAAGTGTTGCACAAGTGGGTAACTAGGGAAATGCATGTAAAACATAATGAAAAATCAGGGGTAACATTAGAAGTAATGCATGCAAAAATGATTTGGTTATTAGTGGCATGTACTGGTGCTAGCCTGTTCACATCATGAAGGATCATTAGCTAGGTAGACTGCACCTGAGGGATGGGAGGAGGCAGTATAAAGCTGACTGAACCATCCTACAGTATATTCTCTGGGGAAGGAAGGTTCAACATGTCAGACAATTATCTGTTATAGTACCAGGGAGGATAGCGTCTGTCTCTTATACACATCTAGATGTGTATAAGAGACAGTCTTTAGCCCATCTGTACCAGAGTGTCTATTCCCTGATCAGAAACTTAGCTGACACCTATGGTAATTTGAGGCCTCATGAGGATGTTTAGTGCCATGCATGCATGTCAACATGTGGGTGTCTTTATTACTTGGGAACAATGCATTGATAAAGGCAATTTGACGAAAGGTTCACACATAAAACAATAAAATAGTGATGTTGATACAACTTGGTACTTGCCACCTAGCTTACACTGCTTGTCTGCAAAGTGGATACAACTTGGCACTTGCCACCTGCCTTACACTGCTTGTTTGCAAAATGTTTTTAGTACAGTGTGTATCATAACATCAGGAAAACTGATAAGAACTGAACTTTAAAAAAAAAAATTATATTTGACATGTATACCGTATACAGTAGTTCTCTGGTATAAATAAACCCAACCCCTCTGTTCACAAAATTAGGTCGATTTAGGAGGCTGGGCTTAAAATTGGGCATCGCGTAGGGCATGCGCTTATACCAGAATTGGGCGTACACCAAAGAAACCAAGTACCCGACTAACAATCTTTAATCTTCGATCATTTTAACACACAGCTGACAACTCTTATTTAAGAGCCAGCCCCAAGACCACCTAATTTTTTTTTAAAGCCATATTTATATATTAAAGGTTAACCCTTCCATCGTATCCTAGACGTTGGCTGGTATTCAGAGGCCCTTTTGAGTGAATTAAATAATGTGATGCTGTTATCAGCAAACTCCCTTTATGTGGCTTAGTGAGTGGATTTGTTTTTGTCATAGGAATTGAACCCAGGTCCTGGGATTAGAAGACATACCCCTATTTTCAGGTCCCAAGTAGGTCAAATTGTTGGGGAAACTGTAAGAGAATTTTTAAATCCAATATTTATTTGATTTTTCCAAACTGATTACTAGATGCTGAACATTGAAATAATTTGCTATTGCTTTTGTCTGAAGAAATGAAATACGAGGAAAACGCATATTTTTGCTACCAGTAAATTGTAAGCTATGAATCTTTAGTAGAGCCAATTGTTGATCCAGTGTTGATAAACCTTTGATAAAAAAAAAACACATGTACGTTTCACGAAAGCATAGAATTTTGGTTATTGCCCAATAAAATCTTACTATGAGGCTGAAAAGAGGGGCTGTGTTTAGCATGACGAATCCTAAAAATCTGTTTTTTATCCCCTTTTTTTAATTTAACATTTATATTATTACTCTTCAGCAAAAGTAAACCTTACAAATCATATTAGAATCTCAATAACTCAATTCTCCTTTATATTGTTATTATTAATTGGAGAAAATATTGATTAAATTTTTGTCTATACATTTAGTTTTGCTCAAGTTAAAGAGTAACTTCCACTTTTTATTTTGTTGCTGTTAGTAACACAATAAATTTATTAATATAAATCAAAACACAATTGTTATTATATAAGCATTACACAAACTGATCTTTATTGTTTATTGCTGGTATATATTTCAACATTGCACAATATGCAGATGAGTTTTGAATTTGTATCATCAATAGACATAGTTGTGATAAGTAGTACAAATATTACTATCTATCTGTCAAATGTTCATAGGATTCAGATAAGATATTAAAATAAAAATAATAAGGTAATTATGTTATTTATATTAAATTAAGAAATGTCTTCATTGGAGAATGAATAACAAGCTTTGAATTATAGCAAAAATATAGCATATGATAAATGAAAGTGCTAGTATAATGATAATGGAGTGTTGTTATAGCAGGCGTATATCAATGCAAATTAATAATTGATAGAGAATATGCATAGGAATTTTTACTAGGCCTAACACAAACAAAGAAATACCATAGCTCTTTACGTCAGTGTTTATTCTTCTAATTTTAGATTATTGCATTAAAGTACAAAGGCTCCAGAAACCCACCTTATATTTGTTATGCTTACAAAATGCTTATTTGCATAATGGACCAAAAACTGCAAAGCCAAGCATTAGTGTAAGCAAGCCTGTGTATAAGCATACAATATTATCAATATTAGAAATTGGTGTTTTTGTATGAGAATAGGATACTGTATTGTAGTTATGTGGCTAATGGCTAAGTTGCGTCACACCATATGTCTTTTTGGTATATGGCCGATTTCTCACTACCAAATGCTCCAATCAGCTATTGATTTTCTTGTTAGCCTTTTGTCTGAAATATAAGTCCATACAGCCATTGTTGACTTTGCTTTGCGATGATGACTCTAGTAGAATTTTGCTACATGTAAACTGCTATGTAAGTGATTATCTTCTTATAGTTTTTTTGTATAGAACCCTTAAATCTATCACTTGGTAATTTGCCTTGAAAAGGCCTTCTTTTGTTAGATCTAGAGTCACATGTTCTGTGCCAGCGAATATATTTTTGTTTTTCAATATTGCTTTTTGTAATGTGTCAGTTTGCGTGTTTGATGCTGTTGTTAATATGTCATGTACCCGCCTTATTTTTTTTACTGGGTCAAACTCTCTTTTCCTAGGTTGTAAAATTTCATTTACAGGGTAAAAAACATAAGAAATCTCTTTAAACACTGGGAAAACAGAAGATAAATATGTTAATTTCAGGGTATTTCTTTTTAAAAGAGGAGCAACTGATGAATAACAACATATGCATTGTACCTATTATAAGGAGAAGAATAGACTGCATATGTGTTTTTATTTTTTAGTTAAACATATCTGCATTATTCAAACAATTTTCTACTGTACTGTACACTCCGTACTAGCATCCCCTTGTAGAAATGTTAACAGTTGTGCTAACTTTGGCTGTTGTCAATGTGGTGTTTGTTGGAATGTGTTGTATATGTTTGGAAAATCTAAAAAATAAAATAAAAAATGTATTTGGGGCATATTGTTAGGGAGCAGGCCATTGGTATGTTATGGATTTGTACATATTACAGGTAGGTATATTGTTGTTGACAGACAAAATGTAATTCTGTGAACATATGTTATACACACACAATAATGGGGTACCATAGACAGAGAGTGTTTCATGACAAGGGGTTACGTTTGGAGATATATAATTGACAGTACTCTAAGGGTATGTTTCTGTATATTTTTAGTTGAAAAGTAATAATAGTATGTGGAAACATACCCTTCCCATTTCTTATGGATCTACCACTGGTAATCATGGGAAATAACTGCCATATATTCTACTTCAGAAATTATTGATGAAATGTGCTGAGGGAGGAATATTGTATGTTAAATTTATTTCTCATCGATTTTTCTTCCCAGTTTGGAAAAAGTAAAGACAGAGGTTGATGTTGCAGTAGAAGTGACTGAGGCACCAGATCAGACCCAAGGTGAGTTTGTGACTTGACACTTTGCATTTAATATTTTAGGCTTATGACGACGCTGTGTGAGCGTGTGTGCATTGCACGTGATATTGCACTTGAAATGAGAGTACTGCACAACATGTGTATCCGATACCTGTGTACTAAGCTATTGCACAATATAGGCTACTCGTGGAAATACCACATTTGTATGTTTTTGTGAAGTGTACATTTTTGCAAACGTGAATAGTACAGTTCTCTGATAAGGCAGTTTAACACAACTTCCGCACATGCACAATTTGATGCTAATTGATAGTATGGCCGTCAGTTGCTATTCTATGTCTACAATCCATTTTCTGGTGTTTCATTTTCACTTATTTTTGGCACTTCTCATTGTCTGTTGCCTCTTGATTTCTTTTTACCAAGAGCTTCTAAAGTACTTACGAAGTAAATTTAAAATCTTTTGTAACAATTGACAAATGCCAATTTGACTTGTTGAACTAAAGTGAACTAAACAAACAATTTTGTCTCATACACAATCACACACCTTCCCAAAGTTTAATTAATGTTGAAAATGATAAGTATAAGCTAGAAATAGTACCAAATTGCCTAAAGATCTGTTTATACTTGCAACGATAACGATAAAAAGCTAAAAAGCAATTGTTCATATAGAAAATAAAAAGCTAACAGAAGTTTTTACACTAAAACGATTCGATAACGATTTATCGTGTAGACGATAATACAATATTTTGACAAATCAATTCAAAATGACGTCATAATCATGGAAAACGATGAAATCGTAGAGGTAACAACAATTTTATCGTTTTTCCATGATTATGACGTCATTTGGATTGATTTGGTCAAGCATTTTCTTATAGTAACATGATCAATCGTTATGGAACCGTCCTGTGTCAAAACTTCTCTTAATTTATTTTCTATATGAACGGTTGCTTTTAGGTTTATGTCGTTATCGTTATCGTTGCAAGTATAAACAGGCCTTAAGCCTCTAAGACTCAGACCCATGTTGGCTATTTTAATAATTACGTTCTTTGGTGATCTTAACGCGGATGAGAAAGATCGTAACATGGAGCTAAACAAGGCGATTCTACCACGGATCTAGGCCTGCCTTGCCATGGAATTGTTATTTTGATAAACAACTTAAATAACAACTCCCTGGTCTTGTTTACGACATTTTAAGGCTGAGCGAGCGCCATAGTATATTGGCTTAAGATAAGAAATTTTGTTTCATTGCTCTATGACATCGTGGAAATCACATTTTTCGTGAAAATTTTCGGGATATTTAAAAAAATCGGGAGATTATTAATAAAAATCAGGAGGGTGGGAGATGGCCTCAAAAATCGGGAGAACCCGCGATTTTCGGGAGACTTGGGATCTCTGTAGTAAACACACAACAGGCATTGTTGTAGCCATAGATAAATTATTTGATGCCTGGAGAACAGGGTCCTCTGTGTTGAATTGCCTTTATAATGAAAATATTGAGAATCTGAAAAACATTATGAAATCGCATGTTTTGTAGGTGAATTTGTGCAATAACTAGTGGCTGAGATGCAAAATTAACATTTTATCACCACATTATATGGCTTCTGCATGCATGCTTGCCTTACATACATCCATCAATATTATTAAAATGTATTATTTTAATTGTTCATAGTGAATATGATAAATTACTTTAACAATGTAATATTTGATTTATACGTATTATATAAATCATTGTTTTGTTCATCTTAAAATGATCCTTTAAATATTGTGATTGTATTTATTGTTCAATTTAACCCTCAATTTATTGAGTAGCAGAATTGTTTGTTATAATGTTGTGTCTGTTGAATATTATAAAAGTTACTTGAGACCAGAGAACCCAAATTTTAATAAGAACAATAAACATATTACAGAAACATATTTTTGCATATACTGTATAATGTATATTATTTGGAGCGTCAATGTGGCTTGAGCAGACGTCATATTATTGTTTGGCCCACATATAAACAATTAATCCTGGGCCCATAAAAAATCCTAAATTGTTATTCACTGACAATCTGCACATATCCTTACCTTTGACTTTATACATGCTTGTCAAGAATAATAGGCTGAACCATAGTTAAATGTTATGCTTGTCAACATTACCCTTAACAAGAGGCTAGGAGCATTGTTAGATCTGTATACGAGTGGAATAAGTGTCCTTAACAAGGCTAGAGTCAGTAAAATCTGCAGGCATATATACAGGTTTTGTGAAACAAGACAAAACTTAAAAAGCATATCAATTGGATTATATAGGCCTATCCTTAACAGGAAATATGCATTGTTATAGATTATCCTTAGAACACTCCTCTTTTATATGGTATACACTCTCATTATGAAGCTTTGGTATGAGATAGTAACTCAAATTTGTGTGTATTTATTGAAATTATACATTCCTTGTATAATATCATATTTACGTGCATTCTAGTGCCATGTTTTTTGTTATAGTTGTTGGACTGTGTTTTAATTGTTGTAAATATAGTTGTTGTAGTGGATGTTACTAGTATATAATTGTAAATATATGTTAAAAGGATTAGGGGATTTGTGACTAAGTTGTCATGGTGGCATTCTTTTCAAAACACAGGTCGATTTGCTGCTTTTGTTTGGCCTAATTAAAGTATGTAACCGATTAACAATAATTAATTTGTAGTTTGCAGGACAATGTGCTTGTGTTGAAACCTCAGGATCTTGGGTTCAAATCCTAAATTTATTCACACAATTACAAATTTCACTCACTATCATACATGCATCTCATTGCTGCATCTTATCGTTTAGCATTTTGTAATCTTGAGTCACACTACTTAAAAACTCTATTCATTAAGGTTATTTAACCCTGTATTATAGTTATATGAAATCCATGCAATATTGATATACCCTAATAAACATTCTATATTTAGTAGCATATTGAAAAATAATGTTATTATGTAATACTGTAAGCTATTTAAATCTAGATTAAAATAATATGCTATTTGAGTCTGGCTAGTGCATCTAATATAAATCCTTATAATTAGAGTATTTTAAATCAGTGACCTACTGTAAATATAAATTATATGAATTTATACTGTACAATTGAGGTAGATTTGTAGAGGCTTGTTTGTAGATTTTCTGTCAAATAGGTTGTGTCAAATATTCATACAACAGAGTCTTGTACTGTTGAACAATAGAAATAAGTAGATTAGTACATAGGGAAATTATTGTTTTGACCTAAATAGATTTTGCAGATGAGTAGACTTTAAATACTATTTTAGATATCATCACATTCTTTTGTGATAGCAACACTTTAGTTATTAGTAGTCATATTTTTGAACCAGGTGATAATAATTTTTAGGAATTAACTGTTTCATAGTGAGAATACAATAAAATTAAATAATTATTCTGTTAACTACAATAATTTAATATAGAGGAATTAGTATAAAGTAAATTGATATGAATTATTTTTTCTTTGATAAGAATCTTAATGTAAGGTAGTCTGATTTCTATTGTTGTCATGGAAATCTAATTTATGTGGCAGTCTGCTTCAATATTAGTTGCATATATTATGTTATTTTTTTCTCCTGTTCAATTCTTAGATGACGAATTTCATAATTTGAAAAGTGTTCGTTCAAAATCGTTTGGTCATCAGAAGAACAGTAGAAGACTGAACAAAACACTCTTCAAAATGTCTCATTTCCCTTCCTCCAAACCACCTACCTATTTATGTTCTCCCTCTAGACCATCACCTACCTCATTTTGCCCTACCTCTAAACCACAATCAGTTATACCAACATCCAAACCGCTATCAATTTCTCCCTCTGAATCATCATCATTAATGCCTACCTCCGAATTTCCAAATTTGAACCCCACCAAATTGCCATCATTTACTTCATCATCAAATAACGTAGTCTGTAGCAATGTATCATCTCTTTTGCCTAACACATCTAATCTTGCGGGGCACGGTAGAAGGTTAAATAACCATTTGGGCAAGCACTCTGCATCACTACCACGCTATACAACCAGTTTAGAATTCACGCCTTTTGTTCCTCACGAGGAAAATGTGTATGTTAGTGCTATCCACATTTTCCCCAAAAGCAAAGCTTCTGAGAGAACTGAAAGTATGGATGAAAGTCTTGGGTATGTGAGTGATGTTGACTCGCTTTCAGGGAATTCAGGGAAGGAATTGCCGATTGTTAGAAAAAACTTGGCAATTTATTCTACGTTGCATGACTCGGACTGTCAAATCGAAAGTAGAGCGGGAAGGTCAAAGGTGGATAGGTTGAAATTAATTCCTAAGCAAATGCCAGGGAATGATATAGTTAGCTCCGATATGATAGACAGATCTTGCATTTTGTACAGTACTTATGCTAAAGAACCAACTAGTGATATAAATGTTGGAAAAATGTCAAATGTCAACAATGATTTAAATTCTGGAATATTCAAAGACACTAATACAGTCAGAACTCAATTTGTTGGCTGTGAAATAGCGCCCTCAGGAGAGAACAGGTTGAGTCCATCAAAGGGCAGTGCATTTAATCATGTGACTGGCAACAAGTTCAAACATATTAAAAGTGACTTTACTGATGTACAATCCAGAAGAAATGATATGATGAATAGAAATTATACCGTCGATAATAGAAGTGAAAAATTCATTCCCATTTCAGCCCTCACACCGAGTGGTATCAACCCTTATGATGAGTCGCCGTACAGCGATAGTGAGGCATCCATTGAAATTGAAGACGTATTTCTGTCTGAAACTGCATCTAGTAGCAAGTCTTCAACTAAGCGAAGCTGCCGAGAACATTTAAAGGGTAAATTGACCCTCGACCTTAGTGGGGTCTACCGTGCGGATCAACCAAGATTCGGTGTTGGTCAAAAAGACTTGAGAGGTAAAAATCCTGAAAATTCAAAGGCAGCTGGTAGTAGTTTAAATAAACTGACCCAGAAAAGAAAAGCGCTTCAACAGAAAGTCGCAAATTTGAAATCAAGGTTATCATTAAGAAAAGAGCGCCCTGAAGCTGAATGCGATTCTGCGATTGATAATGATGATTTAAATCTTAATGATATCTCCTCCGATGAAGAGGAAGATCTCCTTGACTTGAAGTTAGATCCCGATATTAGGTGCGCATCACCAACATACAAGGAGGCCATGTTCGATGCGAAATTGAAAGCAAATCAAGCATTAGTCACGAATCTCATTGAACAATATTCAAATCCTTCGCTTAGCAGACCGTCGAGTATATGCTTCACTAACTCTGATGACAGTGAAGATTCGCGCGCAGAAGACGTCCGCGAATTTGAAGAAAATGAAATGAAATGTAATTCACCAGATTACTACGGTGAAAGCTCATCAGATGAAGATATTCCGGATATGAAAGATAATCGAAGGCATAGAAAATCAAGGTCAAAAGGTCAAGTTACACGCATGGTTGATTCTGGACACTTGACTGCTAGCCCGGAGTCCTTACTACTAGAAATGAAATCGAACCGATTTAAAGAAGTTAATTCGAAAGAGCACAAAGAGTCATCATCATCTGATTCAGATATAGAAGACGAGTACAAGTTGCAGCAACCGCTTATATTACACTATACGTTGAGAGCGGCGACTTCCGAAAGTGAACTCTCTGTTATTCTTGAACAAACGGAAGAGAGTGATGTTGAAGATAACTATCTGTCCTGAATGATAATTTATAACTATAAAATATATATAAATTATTGCATCAATGAATTAAAATTAGCTTTGAATCTTATGTAGATGACCAATTTCTTTTTTTTTTTTTGTGGAAGCTGTTATAAAAGTACACTTATACTCGGAATGTTTTGGCCTCTGGTCTCACGGTGCAATATAATTATTACAACTATGGAAGAAGATGGGTCTTCTAGACGGCTAGAAAATAACATAATTTGAATAGGAGAGGTATAGAGAATATCAGAATTTGCATAAGAAGAGGGTTAGAGAATAACAGAATTTGAACGTGAAGAGAGTTATAAATAGAATAACAGAATTTGAATTAGGATAGGGTTATAGAATAACGGATATACATGTATGAATGAATCCTGTGTAAGTATTCTGTTATAAATGCTTTCACGAAAATGGTACATTTTGTATCTACATACCTGTAGGTATAGATTAAAAGTAACTATAACATTGTACCTTTATGTTTAGGTGCTGTATTTAAGAAGAAGTTTTAAAATAATTTATTTTTATATGTATTTACTATAACTGTATGCTTGTCTTGTGATGGGATTGTCACTTTGAAGAGTGGTTAAGTTCACTATTTGGCATATCCGTTGCATTAGTGCCCTAAAAGTACTATGAATATATTTCCCTGCATGATTTTAATCAGTTATCCTAAATCTAATGATGCTGAAATATCTTGATAACTAGTACTATTATCAATGAGCCTTTAGATTAATTAGATTAATTATTGATATAAACTTGATCAGATTTTTTATAAGATTAATTGTGTAAAAAGAATATACATAATCTAAACTAGTTAATGATATCATAGATAATCAATAATTATTTATTAGAGGTTGAGAGCGAAGCTGTAGTTGGTGGTTAAGATACTTGCATTCTAAATTGAGGGTCCTAAGTTTAAATCCTGTAAAACAGGATTTTTTCCCCTCTAAACTGATTTAAAAAAAACAAAAAAAAAAAACAACTCTACTTCTTAAGCCTTGTAATGAAGTTATAATACATACAGGAGCCTGTAGGAAAACAGTACCATTCTGCAGAACAGGCATCTCAGTCAAAATAAAAAAAATGTATACAATCAAAATATGCTTGCCTTCGCTAATATCCAAAATTCAATAACTGAGAATACTTTTTTTTTTGTCTCAGCCCTATAATCTCAACTCACTGAGCTTCATAATGAAGAGTGTGTCCCAAGTTCAATTCCTGTAAAACAGGATTCTGTTTAATAACTGAGAACTGTTGATAACCAGGCGAGATCCAGTAGGGGGAACAGGGGCCCTGTTTTGCCACTAAATTTAAAATTTCAATGCATATCAATGTTTTATATTGAAATAATAGCGATACTCATTTATCTATTCTGACAGTGTTGTGCCCCCCCCCCCCCACCAATATTAGAAAATTCTGGATCCGCCCATGACATTAAAATGAGAATAATTTTTTTTTATCAGGCATGTAAACTCTGTTAATGTAATTTGTTAATCTGCCTTCTCGTAACATAAGTACTTGTATTGATCTCAAACAGAAGAAATTATATAGTGATTTCTATGAGACTAGTCTTAGGATAATTAATTTTTTTTATTATTATCAATGAACAATCAAATTATTATGGTGCATTTAAGGTATTAAGTAATGAAATAATATTTATTATGACTACCACTACTACTCCTTGGTATAGCTCATCATAATGAGATAATGCAGATTCACTTCCATATATTTAAAAACATAGCAAAACACTCGCTGTTAAATAAATTAAAGTAAAACATATATACTTCCAATCATAATAAATGATAAAAATTCCATTTTGTGGACCAGTTTATAAAATATTTCTAATTATAGTTTTACAATTTTTTTTTTTAAATTACCTATTTTTAGTTTTTAATTATTAAATGTGACATCAGTAAAATGAATCTGGTTTTATAATTACTGGACAAGTACCCTAACAATTACATGGATAAAAGCTAATAAATACATGAGACTTGCCCATATATGGATGTTATGACATAATTATGCTCATATATGGATGTGATATGATTTAACACACATACTGTAATGAATTCTAATTATAGTTTTACAATTTTTTATTCAAATTACCTATTTTTAGTTTTTTATTATTAAATGTGACATACAGTAAAATGAATCTGGTTTTATAATTACTGGACAAGTAAGTACCCTAACAATTACATGGAAAAAAGCTAATAAATACATGAGACTTGCCCATATATGGATGTTATGACATAATTGTGCTCATATATGGATGTGATATGATTTAACACACATAATGTGATGTAAAAAAATAGACAAATCTATCACACATTTTTAACACAAATATAGTGTGGACAGAATATTATTAGAGCTCAATACTGAAGTGGTAACTCCTAGTCTGTTACATCTAAAGTTGGTAGATATACATGGAATTGGTTAAAGATGTATTGTCCCCTGAAAATGACAATCAATCATAAAAAAAATTATTTTGAAATTAACTTGCTCATTTTGCAGTAACATACAGATTATTAACTTGAGTATAGAAATTATTGAATTTTAAAAATGTGTAGCATGATTTTTATACTGGATAATGATAATAAAAGTGATAAAACACATGCAGTGACTGGGAGTGTTTATATCATTTTTTGCAGTAAAGTTATAGGTAAACATTTTCTAAATGCATTCATTTCTATGTTCAAGTTAATCATTTTTATGTTACTTAAAATGAGCATGTTAATTTCAGAAATGATTTTTATGATTTCTTGGGTAATTTACATGGAATAATATGGTATTTTATTACCCACTGTATAACCTATTTGTAACAAATATTTATTTGTATATACTTATTTCATATGCATGGATATTAATAAAAGATATTAATCAGCTCATTTGTGACTACTGTATTTAGATATTTAACTGTTTTCTGTGTTTGACATACTTCCATATAAACTGTTTTGAATTTATTTTTTTGAAAAGACATGATGAAGCAATTTACAATACAAAAGACAATAATCACTCTGTGCACAGTATCTTATAATTATAAAAAGCTAACTTTAAAATGAAGTCTATAGATCTAAATCTGGATTGCCAAAACCACCAAAGAGATGGCTTATTTTGAATGAGGACTCATATCAGTAAATAATACATCAAATACTTTTAATTCCAAAAAATAAGACTACAGTATAAAATATATGTGCAACGTTGGCAAGGATGTTATTCAGGCATTTCTTTTTCATAATAGTAGAGTAGTGTGTATACAATTAACAAGCCGGAAAAATGTATTGATAATATAATCAGTGGGGGATAATACCTACTAAACCAAGAAACAATCTTACCCCTCTCCATATCCCTTAACGGAAATTACAAATTTTCACCCAAAACCTCAGGGGGTGTTATTAAGTATATCAATTCATAGTACATGCTTTTAAATTCTAATCTCTTGCCTGTGACTTGGTTCCAAGCACATCTGGCAGTCCTAACTGAAGAACATGATGCTACCTACTTTGCTTCGGCAAGTTTGTTGTCTTATGAAAGAATGATATTTAATTTAGAATATTGTAATAGGGCCTAGGCATTAGGTTAAGCTAAAAGTAAAGTATGTGGTGGTAGGCCCATCTAAGCTACTGACACTACTCTAGGCCTACCTGTGATGATGTGGAACACGCTTCTTTTAACTTATAACAATTCTGCTCACATTTAAGTCTGTTCAGTTAACGATATATTACCTTAATTTATTATGTATTTTTAATCATGATGTGAATAGTCACAAATTGATGTGATTAGTTGAGTATATTGTATATGGTTTTTTTTTATAAAAATGGTTGATATCAATATTGTCAAAATCGGTTGTTCTGTATTGGTTGGTTCAGTTGTATTTGAATTATACATTGTTGGCATCTGTTGATTGGTTTATATGTTCTAGTAATGTGAAGTTTAGTTTAGTGTGTATCCTGTTTCTGAATGTATCCACATCCCTTACTTTGATGTTCCATCTGTGATTCCTCTGTCTGTGCCAAAGTATCCAGCTGTCTTCAATATACTTGCTAATCAATAAATATTGATAATATAGATGGCTGAGGATTCTTCTGATTGGCTGAAAGAGCACTCACATGAAAATCTTGATGTTCCTGCAGAAGAAAGTTCCACCTTGGAAGATTCTGGTGATATAGCACCTGAAGATGATAATTTGACACCAGATGATCATTATGAAGATCCATCAGATGATCCTATGTTGGAGGATGATCTTCCTCCACTGCCTCCTCCAATGCCACCTCCTGTTCCTTCATCTCATTCTCCAGAACTGAAGGAACCAATTATTATTGACAATGACGACTCTGAATTTAAGTCTGATTTTTCTACACCATTAATATCACCCTTTAAATCTATAGCTAAAACATTAAGTTTCTTGCCAAGCTTCTTACGTCCAAGAGAAGAGTCAACTCCTCCTGAGTCATCTCCGCCTGATGGTCCTTCATCACATGATTTGGAACTTCAACTGGAATCAAACGGTCTTGAAAATGAACCAGATAGTTCCTCAGAAATTAATTATGAATTAAAAGAAGAAGTAGATTTGAGTGAGCAAAATAATGTAGAGGATTATTATAAAGGGGATGAAGAACCATATCTAGAAGATAATGGTTATGAACCAGAATACATCCATGACACTCCAGAACCTGATGTCAGTGATTCAGAAGTGGGTCCTCCCGAAATGATCACTCGCTCAAAATCTGTTACATTTGCAGAGGATGTTGAGTCGATCGATAACAAAAGTGAGCCTTCTACACAGATATTTTCGTTGTTTCGCAGATTCTCTGACTCACTAAAACCAATGCTGTCTCCCACAGAAAATGAACCCCAAATTATTCCTGAACCAGAAGAAGTTGTAGAATCAAATTCCACCGACATGGTAGTGGAGGATGATGAGTGGCAAAGCCATCATCATATTTTAAAAGAAGATGAAATTGAAATTTATGAGACCGATATTGATCCCAGTGAAGTTCCAATGAATGAGTCTCCAGAGGTGGAGGAAGCATTAGATACTGAAAATGGTGATCAGGTTTACTTACAAAATAACAACTCTGAAACATTAGACACTTTAGATTCTTTCGGTGTAGAAACTTACGATGAGCCCTCAGAAAATGTAGATATGCTTAACTCGGATGACCCTGGGACAATTGAGGGAAACGATATTCTGGTCTCTGAGGTTGATGAAAGCCAGCCATCACCAACCCCAGGGAGCATTCCCTTCTCCTTAGGTGTATTCTCTGGTTTTCGTAGGCCTAGTTCAAATGAGGCAAATGATACTCAAAATACTGAGGCCAATGAAAGAAAAGAGCCATTTCCTTCCACAGGGAGTATTCCATTTTCCTTGGGTGTGTTCTCTGGGTTTCGTAGGCCTAGTTCAAGTGAAGCAAATAATACTAATACTGAGGCTAATGGAACAACCCAGGAACCATCACCAACCGCAGGGAGTATTCCCTTCTCCTTAGGTATGTTTTCTGGGTTTCGTAAGCCTGAGGCTAATGATAATAATAATAATAATACCCAAGAGGCCAATGAAAACCAGGAGTCACCTTCCACAGGAAATGCTTCCTTTTCCCTTGGTGTTTTCTCTGGGTTTCGCAGACCTCTTTCGAATGAGGGAAAAGATATTTCCGAAGCCAATGGAACCGAGGAATCTCCTTCCACAGGGAATGCACCCTTTTCCTTTGGGTTTTCTGCGTTGCGTGACGTGGTTCCCGTCATTCCTTTGCCATCATTTCCTAATTCCGAAACCTTGGACGAGGAAGTTGTGGAGGAGACAGAAAGAGGTACTTTTTTGCACCCATTACCATGCATGTTCTTTTCTTCATGGTAGTTGTAGATTTCATTCCTTTCAATTCTTACAGATCCAAGATATATTTTTAATTTATATCAGTATTTACAGTATTTGTGTAAATGCAATTTAATCATTTCTTAATATGTTTTTACGCATTATTTCTTTCTTCAATCATCGTTTTGATTTGAGCATGTTGTGTAAAATAGTCACTTGTAAAGTAAATATTTCCTGTGGCTGCATGCAAATTATTAATACATTTGGTGGAATTGATTGAATATTAATTTCCATTCATTCCAATATCTTTGTGTATGGATGTTTGTGGAGGCAGTGAATGTGGGATGTGTGTCTGATGACATACACAGTGAGGTGAGGTTGGTTTTGTGTATGCATGTGTAAATCCTGTAGGCCTTTGTATTTCTTGGACATTTGTTTTTATAATAGCTTATATTATTGCTAGTAATTGTGAAAAACACATGATCCATAATAATGTCATTGGCTTTTGGTCACATTTCTTTCCTTTTAGTTTCTGGTGAGCAGGAAGCAATAGTAATTCCAGATGTTTCTGTGCAAGAGGTGGGTAATTATGTAATCATAATACATTCATTTATTTATATAACTATTATCATTTACTGTATTTCATCTGTTCTGCAAAATATTAAAAATTATGTCTGTATTATATCCTATATCTATAAACGCTATCTATATTATCATGTGTTATTAGCCCACTTTAAGCATGATAGTGTCAAATCACACCCACATTTGATGGGGTGTGAGTGGGATGGCAGATAACAGTTATTTGTTGCAATTTGATAGCATTGTCCATACAATAATGTATTTAATGTCTTAATTCTACTCTGTGTTTCTTTATTACTCTATGATTATTTTCATTTAAAATTGTATGTAGTATTATTTTTATACCTTAATAATTATAATAATAGTAATAGTGTAGTTTTATATAGCGCACATATCCATCTAATGTAAGATGCTCAGGGCGCTTGAATTGTGAACTAGGAACTCGACCAATGACTTCCTTCTCCCCTAAGGGTCCCGGTACCAGCAACTCTCGTCGTCCACCACAGGGGCTGTTCCAGTACACCGGGGTAACCCCCTACTCGTCTCAAAGGATGTACTGGGTTCTTTATAGCTGTCTCTTATCCACATCTAGATGTGTATAAGAGACAGGGATATATGTATTGATAATATAATCAGTGGGGGATAATACCTACTAAACCAAGAAACAATCTTACCCCTCTCCATATCCCTTAACGGAAATTACAAATTTTCACCCAAAACCTCAGGGGGTGTTGTACTGGGTTCTAACCCCCTACTCGTCTCGAAGGATGTACTGGGTTCTTTATAGTGCACACGAGCCATTGTATACACTGGGCCTACGGTTTATAGTCCTTATCCGAGAAGACTTGTTCTACCACCAGAACCATAGGCGAGCGTGCAGTTCGAACCAGCGCCGATATTATGGCTATAGCTTGCGGCGTCCCTGCTAACCGCTCGGCCATTCGACTCACCTTGTGGGTCACCTCACTGTGGGTTCCTATCATTTCCATCAAATGCTTAAATGTGTGTTAGTCACATAGAAAGACAATCAAGCACAATAATAACAATGAAATACAAAATAATTAAATAAAATATATACAAAATGAGGAAAATCACAAATGTGATTCATAAAGAAAAAACAGCAATTTCAAAGCTGTTAATATATGAGGGCGTAAAAAAAATCTTAAGCAATTTTTATATTTAGAATTTCTTCATTAATTTATATATTTTATATATTTGCTAATTAATAAATTCCTTTGAAGTTTAATGTGATTTTGATTAATATTTCCATTCTGTTTTTGGTCAGGTTCAAGAATCAGGTGAGACTGAACCCAGTACTGCTCCAGTTGTTTTGGGCGGTCTTGTTGCATCTGAAAAGTTTGGGGTATGTATTTCAGTTGAACTGTAATTATCTCTCAGTTAAAAATGCTCTTGTTCTTTTTAAAATTAATCTCTTCTTTTTTTATTTAATTCAGAGCAGAATTTAAATAATTTTTTTTTTATATTAGAAAATAGGAGTTTAGAGAAACATGGCAAAATATTTTGGACAGGTTTGGCCTGCAAATACATCTCTTAGTCTGTTGTGTCCACACTGGCACAAACCTGTGGTTTAGTCCATATATGGGTGTGATGTGCCTATATATGGATCACAGATAATTGTCACACAATGTATAGTGTGGATCATTATAGTTTATTCCTGGTTTATTAGTCAGTTCAAAGGCCTCTCTGCTATATTTTTACTCTATTTGTTTGTGTTGTTTTTATTTATGTTTTTTTTTTGTTTTTGTTTTTTGTTTACTATGATTTAATTTACAATAGCTGTTTGTTTTCTTATGTTTTATTTATGTTTGTTTTGTTTTTAAATATTTACCTGACTGTGTTGTTCAATATCATGGTTTAAACTACAATAGCAAGATGAAGAGCAGGTTTTAGAAAATATAGAAGACGAAACTGTTATCTTAACCACCACCACCAGTACTGACATTGATGTAGTCGTAGTTTCTGAGAATGAAACTGTACAAAGCGAAATTCCTGCTGAAATCACAGCGGAAATCCCACCTCAACTTGCCGCTGAACAACCAGAGCTTGGCACCGAGGAAAAGCTTTTCAAAAAACAGACGTCGTCCAGTGAAGTGCCTAAGCGATATTCTAAGGACCTGGAGAAGGTAGTACTGGATTTGATGTTGATCTTGAGGTCCAAAGGCTAGGCCTTGCTGAAATTAACAATCGGTAGCCACGTAACAGGGTACTTGGCAGCTTCATTGCACTTATACTCTAGAATCATTGGATTAATGGTGGTTTCTTGACTTTGCTTTGCTCACAACTCTCTCCTTTCACAGAATCTTGTAGATATGAGAATTTACATGCAAATTTGAAATAGGCTCTCTTAAAATTTCACTGTTAACCACTGTTTAGCATCTTTTTAAGGGGTCTAGAGGTATTATTAGAAGTTGTATGGTTTTTAGTATCTTGTTGGTATAAACTCTTGTATAAATAATTCCAACTATTTTTACTTCATATATTGGTTATTACCGCAGTACATTATTGTTAAAATGCATTCAAATTATTATCCTTAATCTTAGTTTTACAAATTGCCTTTTTCTAATTCTTATCTCAGTAGCTTTCAATCTTTAATTAATAATAAATTCAGACATTTTGAGTTATACATAAATGAAACAATGTAACACAGGCTACTTATGCAGTGAAAGCATCTCCTCATCCAAATATTCCACCCCCCCCCCACCAAATTCTGTAGCATTCGGTATTGCATTTATAATGTAATTATGGTGTAAGGTTATTTATGGTTGTAACCCCGACTACAAATTTAATGACAAAGAGTAATCTTTAATAAACCTGCATATTGGGTCACACATAGATAATGTACTAAAATCTGTAATATGAAAATACAACTCATATCTGTTATCTTAATGCGACGTGAGGTGCAAACACGGTGAACTTAATTTGTGGTGAAGGGTCAACCATATATATTTATATAATTATACTAGTGGCATTGCAACTAACTATTGTTTCTGAACTTGTGCCTGTCTCCTTTTATTCCAGTCTTCTTATCTATTTTTATATATATAAAAAAACATATATTCACTTTGATTTCAAGTAATTTTATTTTGCATGATGAGAAAATGCCAGAAGAAAGAAAACTATCATTATCAAAATCATCATCATTATTATTATTATCATTGTCATCTTAATCATCATCATCATCATCATCTTTATTTTCATCATCAGCATCATTGTCATCATCATTATCATTTTTATCATCTTCATCATGAGCATTATCATCATCATCATCTTCATCATCTTCATCTTCATCATCATCATGAACAGTATCATAATACTCCATTGTTGTTTCTAACTTCTCAACATCTCTTTCTCTTTGCCTACTGGTAACTCAACTTTGATGAATGTATAGCCAACCTTCAATGGTAAACTAGCTCTTTCCCTTTGTGGAAATCATCAACTTTATCTTGAACTTTACGGTAGATGTATATGATGTGCTATAATTAACATATATATTAGATTCATAGATCTTTGCTTCTGAACATGATTGCAGTCATTAATGAAAAGTAGTGTCAGAAATACTGTAGCCATTGCAATAATTAGTATCATTAAAGTAACTGACAATAATAGAGCTAATTAATCACTATTACAGAACCAATTATAGTACATTTTGGGTTATATTGTGATCATAGTTAAAAAGTAGAAATCTATACTGTACTGTTTATACAATGTGTTTTATGATCCAATAAGTTTATTATACTGTGGGTAGAGTGTGGAGGCATGTACAACAGCAGACAAGTGTTTGGTCTTGAACCTTGGCTGTGCACTCAAGCAAATCCATTGCTGATTGCATCCTGAGTACTTTGGTATACATCCACTTAGATGGCTTGAAAAAAGGAACTGGAAATCCATTGTCCTTCCACAGACAACCTGATGCTTAAAGGTGGTGATGAAGACAGTGGTCTTCACTCTCCTCCCACTAAAATGTATAAATATATAAATATGACTATGGAAGTTAAATAAGTCCTTGCATTTTGGCATTGCTATTAGGAGGTTTTTTGTTTTATACATATATTTGTTCTGTGTATCAGATAGTGTATCATAACTAACACTAACTGTATAATAAACAGTTGATAAAACAGGTATGCAATCTAAAACTTACCTATTCACAAATTGATACATGAAATAAAGGTAAGTATCAAGGTGGCAGATTTACAGTTAGGTTTATTTCCAAATTTTGGCCTGATCCATCTTAATATTATTTTTGTTGTATTAGGCAATAAGTTAAATAAAAATTGTGCAAAATCTTATTAAGTATTGTAAGGATGATGATCAATTAAATTCACCTACAGATATGTTTCCATGTTGCATTATTAAACTTTTGCTGATTTTATTCATTCTTTGTGTTACAGGGAAGTTCAACCAGTTTAACAAGCTTATACAGTGCCGGTGGAGAGGCATATGGCAAAATTCCTATCACTGGGGATGTGCAGTTTGGCCTTTCATACAACCACAAGCTCATTCAGTTCTCCATTAACGTTGTCTCGTGCCAAGATCTTGCCCCCGTGGATACAAAGAAGAACAAGTCAGACCCGTAGGTGTTTTTCTTTAAATACACCACTTACGTATAATCTCTATGACCAACCTTTATTATTTTCACTTTATTGTTTGCTCACTGTAATAAGGCCAGACATACATTGATAGAGTACACGATGGGTCAGTCTAAAAGGATCGATTCAGACTGCCTTAACAATCAGCACAAAGCATGGCAGCACTATTACTAACACAAAGCACAATTGGATGGCCAATCATTTCCTGATGGACTTAGTCTTTTTAGTCCTCTGTTTTGATTACACAAAATGAATACACATGTATAGATTATGTTTTTTTTATTTTGTGAGCAATTTTATTTACATATACGGGCTTATATTTGAATATATCAACGGAATATGTAAAAGGCTTAAGATACCTAATATCTCTGTATTATACCATATATGAGACAATTGTGTAATGTGGCTTATAAATTGATTATTTGATTGAATTAGATTCATCTTAGTGATAATTTATTCAGAACTTCGTGGCTCAAAATCAAAATAATTGTTCATGCAATCATAAGAGGATATTAAACATTACTAACTATCAGTGTTGAGTAAATCCATCAGGTATTGACCTGCTGTTATGGTCTGTAAATAAGGAATGCCCTCTACCAAATTAGCTCATCAACATATCAAAAAAATATTTGAAATTGTTTGATGCACTACTATTACCTTTTAAAAAATAGGAGTGTCATTTGTGTTCATGGTTTTTCAACAGTTACGTGAAAATTTACCTCCTACCTGACAAGGGACGAAACGGAAAGAGAAAGACCAAAACGAAGAAAGGGACCATCAACCCACAGTTCAACGAGGTTCTCCGGTACAAGATCAAGGAAACAGAGCTTCGAACCCGCACGCTGAGCGTAGCTGTCTGGAACCATGACAAGCTTGGCCGCAACTTCTTCCTTGGGGAGGTGCTTTTGCCTCTCGATGACATCCAGTTTGATAATTACAACCCTAAGTGGCACCAGCTGTTACCAAAAGCAAGTCTTTCTTTACATTTAACGTGACACACACACACACACACACATAATTTACAAATCAGTAGGGGTATAGGGTATGGCCTTTATCAATATCACATATCTAATCACAAAGATGGAGGCTCTACTTTGCTTTTTTCTCTACTTTACATAATTATTCAATTAGGCATCTGGATTAATGCTATATTACATTTTTTTGTATTTATGTATTAATTTTATCTTGTTTTCTTTCATTTATATGAAAAATGTTTTTAAGAAGATACAAGTAAAGCTTGGTTTCCATACAATCACTATACGCTATCGCCGACAACTTTCGGTGATGCTGATTGGTCAATTAAATCGGGGAAACTTCCTGAGGACTGGTACGCAGTGCAACAATTGCACTGAAACACTGTAGCGACAGTGTAGCGATTTTAAGAAAACCAAGCTTTAAGGGATGTAATTTCATCATTAATATATACTAAAAGATATAATTCATCATAAATTTTGATAAAAACATGAAATTCATTTCCAGACACAGACCATATTAAAATGTTAATTACCATATATTTAAAATAAGGGTCACTTTACAATACTGTTAACCATACTTTCTGCTTTTTTCTCTTTCATTATCCTAAACCTCTAAAATACACTAAATTCTTTAACCTTTTTCTAATTTGTTTCGAATTAGGTGATGCTTGAGGAGGGCGGTATTATCTATAAAGGCGACATCACGCTCGCTATCAAGTTTGAGGGCGAAGGAGCGGAAGCAGACCAAAAACAGGCAAAATCAAAGGGATCTCTCCTCGTACACTTCAAGAGCGCTAAGAACTTGACAGCTGTTCGACTCAATGGATCAGACCCTTATGCTAAATGGTAGGCTTACGTCAAATGTAAAGCAATGATGAGATTTGGAGTGCCCCTAGAACTCTTGAGGGATTCATTCATTTGATTGGTCATTTGCATTTTAATGTAATGACCTAATGCAGTACAGACTTTCCTGTGCACTGTCCTATTTTCAAAATCCTGGTCTTTAATTCTATAAAAAAAGATGATAAATATTTGGGAAATATCCTGATGGGGACATATGTTTTTCTCAAATATTTATTATCATCTTTAATAACACCAGTGTTTTATGTGTGTTTTATAGTTATCTTGAGCCAGATCGTTCTAAGGCCGGCAAGAGGAAAACAAGCCACATCCGGAATAACTGCAACCCTAATTGGGACCAGCAAGTCCAGTATGACAATGTGACGTTGGAAGGGCTCAAGCTACGCGCATTACATGTGACCGTGTGGGACCATGATACCCTCTCAGCGAATGATTTCCTTGGAGTAGTCAGTCTAAGTTTAGGAACAGGTATGATTAATTAAATTTATAAATAGAGTGGTAGACTGTTTATGGTGTTCATCCTCTAATGCCAGGGTCCTTGGTTTGACAACTTCAAGTGTCAGTAGTTTTTCATAAGTCCCAAATGATCAACTCTCAACTTTCCAACCTCATAAAAACTCAGCATTGAGGGTCCCAAAAGATTAGTTCCTCACTCCCCACTCCCCAACAATCATAAGGAGACTTGGTTAATCATACATTCTGATGATTTAATCATAATCATCATTATAAAATGTTGATCAAATTACTTGTATAACCATGTATAAAATGGATAAATAAATATATATTTCACAACTTTTTTTTCCTTTTAAATTTCTTTCAGGCCGAGTTGGTGGTAAGGAAGTCAACTACATGAAATCTAAAGGAGAAGAAATTCGAATCTGGGAAGAAATGCTTGCAAAGCCAAACACCTGGATAGAGGCTACCATTCCTCTAAAAGCCAAACTATAGGTGGCGGTATAAAACAAAAGCAAACAAAAAAAACAAAAACAAAACATCTATATGGCCAATTAAAGTGACAATATTTGATAGTCATCCATTTTTGACTATTGCATTTGATCTTGACCACAGCTCAAACTAAAGAAGAAATTCATATAAATCAATTTGAAGGAATGCGGTCATAAAGTTCTACTACCAGTATCCTACTAAAGTAAAAATATTCATATTTATGGTTAAGCCTTACAATAATAATCAATAAACATAACATTGAATGGTATGTATACTGGGGATCGAAAAAGGTGTTTTTATAATGACCATAAAGTGTGGTAAATTAGAGTAGAAGTTATTATATATGCAATTTGTATGCCTTCAAATGATGTCCTGAAGGAAAATGTTTTATTATATAATCCTTCTAGTGTAATGCAACACTGAATAATGCATTAATCTTCTAATAATTCCGTATTACAACAACTTCCATAAATAGTGTTGATAGTGACCAATGCTTGTGGATTTTCAAATCCTCAAGTTTTTCTATTCTCCGTGTCTTCTGAAGTACATTTTTAACAAATTTAATATTCAACTATCTAGGTTATGCTTTTAGCCTCGTATTGTTATCAGATATTCAAGTTTAAAGTTCATTTGCAGTTATTGATTTCGATACCACTTTCTGTTAGCTTAACGAATCTGTATTTAATTATTTATTTATTTATTTATTTGAATTATCCCTTTAGATTAGTGTCAATCACATCTAATAGGGGCATTCAATACGAAAGAAAAACCAAGTATTAATACAGAGCTTTACTAGTATTAAGGAATTTTACGGTGTGTTTGAGCATATTGCTCCTGGTTAATCTCTCAGGAGTCAGACTTTTATCAAATAACAAAATCAATCAGCTGATGTTGATTATGTTTATTTATGTATTAGATATTCACCAGGCCCTAATGTTATTAATTAGCCTAATGTAATTAATCATTGATAAGACCCTGTAAGTAAGTGGAATGCATATTTTTTTGGCTGACTTCTCTCTTCGCACAAAAAGTAAATTATTATTTATAGTCACCATGGCATAATTGAATAGACACTGTGCCATGTCTGACAATCAGCTACATCATTTCAAGTCAAGAAAGTTTGTATTTCATTGTTTTCATAATTTCCAATCTTTGTACCATGCAACAATATATTTCACTCTAGATACTCTCTAATTAACTACCCACTACCTGCGACATACCCTTGTCATATGCAAAAGTGTACTATCTGTGTAATGTCAGTAACCCCCACAAACACTACCTAAGATTAAAAATGTATAGATAAGTCTAACATACATAATTTATACCTTTTACAACCACATTTCCCTTTGAAATTGCCAATTCAGCAGGGAATAAAACAATTATTTGGTTATATGTATATGTGGTAAAATAAAACATAAATAGTTGGTTAATTAATATCATATTTATGTTAACTATTTATGCATGTGTAATAATTTACACACATATTATTGGTTAAGATATTAAATAAATAATTTGCTTTTATTTATGATGAGGCTGGTAATAGAGGGCCACATTTTGTGGGTGGCTAACCCTCTCCAAGTCTCCGTATTATCCGACTATTAAGGTAGATTATCATTAGCATATATGCAATATCACGTGCCTCTGACTAAAATATCAGATTTAGTAGAAGTACCTGACTGTAAGCTACACTATTTGATCCCTTGCCTTGTGTTCCTTGGCCCAGATGAACTTGTTGTAATGGTGTTAGCTTAAGGTTGAGATAAGTTGGGGTACTGCTGCCTTTCTAAGCCTTTGGATGATGGATCATTAATTATTCCAAGGTTTAGTAATATTGATGATTTTTATGGGGATCTAAACTAATGGTTCATGATGAATAATACTTCCTTTATTTATTCAATTGTATACTAAAAGTAGAATAGATTAACTAAAATGTTTTTTATTGCCTATGATTAAATATGAATGCTGTATTCTCGATTAATAAGTTTGAAAAGTTTAATAACAAAATTTAAATTTAATTCTGTTAAAAAATCTGTTAAATTAAAATCACTTTCATTAATCAAATTGATAATAGCTTGCCAAATACAGGGTGTACATACAAAAATATTTAAAAATTAACTAATTCTCATTTAATGGAATAGAGAATATCTTGTGCATTACACTGCCATAATATATACAGGAACTGTTGTATTAATATGGGGATCTATTTCAATTAGCAAACCAGCCAAATTTGAATATAAATTATGAAGGAATCCAATAGCATGGTACATTTATCAATCTGCAATTGCTCGACATCTTCTCGTGTGTCTGTATGTGCACGTTTTTGACTGGTTTGCTAATGAAGAATGGACCCATGGGAGCGCACTCTGCAACTTTTTGAATGCTTGTTCTTTCAAGTCATATTATGCATCATGACAATCCAATGATTGAACCCTCAAATTTTTGGATTAGAGAAGTACTGTACCATCAAATACCACTAATGCAAACATTCCTATAGTGTAATTACAAACACGACTTTATTCAAAGTAGAATGAGAAGAATACATTTTTGATCATCATTCAATAAAATCTACATCCAAAGCACACTTACTTTGACAATAAATTATTTACACATAACATGGTCCATAATACTGTATGTAGATTATAGAATTTATAAATATATATATATTATATAAGTGTATATCGTTTCTGATTGCAATGATAACTTGGTCAAAGTATATTCTATAGACTTATTAAATGGGGAAAACTGAAATTTTTGAGTGTTATTTCTTTCTGAGGACATCATGTCAATTTTTTGTTGGCACTATTTCTTTCATCTCTTGTATATGTATTATTGTGAATGCACATAGAGCAGTAAAGCTTTCGGGTTCAAATTGGATAGTCGTGTGTCAGATACTGGTGCCATTGCTCGTCTCTTCATAGGCAAGGCACCAACCCCCTAGGAATGAAAATGGGAGCTTGGTTCTGTTGTTGTGACTTCTTTTTCTCTCAGTTTTATTTTCAAAAACACTTGCAATAGCACATACAATAATTCTCTATTATGCGCTCTATAGATGCCCACCAATTCTTGCCCATGAACACTCAACAAGGAGTGTGGTAGGTTGCACATGTATGACTGTATCAAATCTGTTCGTTCATGTTGAAAGTCACAGGAAACAGTAGTTGCTGTTATCTGTTGAAGATGCTGTAGCAGGATCACCACCAGTTGACTAAGGAAAAGTTTTTTTTGTTACTCTTTCCATGGAGGAATTATTTCTTTCTCAATTTCTCTAGGTGCCAGGTGGTTTAATTAAGCCAAAAGTGTATCTCAGAGCCACCATGTGCAGGGAAGCCGAATGGCATATTCCCATTGATCAAATTACGGTAACAAGCCCTTAGAAACTGGTTCTGCACTTACTGAACACAAGTGTAAAGACCAATATAATTGATAAATAAATCTTCAAAACATCCAACTTATTGCCTTTATGAAATTTAATACACATACAATGACTAGGTTTTATCATCTTTACCTTACATAAATATCTGATTTTTTTTCACATTCAATTGTTTCTCAATTCACAATTGTTTTTAATTAGACACACGGTGATCTAATTCATATTTCAAAAATATTGTTACTGTACATATGGGGCTTGCCATGCCAAAATATACACCAGTGACAAAAACATGAAAATTGACTTGAATATTTTCATATTCTCCACATAAGAGACTTTAAAATGATGAATAATTTACTGGAAATGATTTACTATTACCAAACCTATGAGAGAAAGTACTGTATATGGCTTATCTGTACTAAAGTATACAATACTGTTTTGCAATGGCAAGCTGTGTATAGTACCTGTGGTTATCTCCCAAACAGGAATGCACAATTGGATGGTGCAGGGTCAAAAAAATAATCCCTGCCCCTTGCAAAGGTGTTATCTAAAACCATGATGGTTAGGGAGGGAACTTGAACTATTGTATTTTATAGTTCTCAATCTCCACCCCATCCTCTCAATCACATCAAATGCCTAAGCTCAAACCCATTAGTACAGTATTATGTTCCTGATTATTTTTATTGCAAGTAATAGATCTTTTATTATCAAGTGACACCAGTACTTTGAAAGCCCTGTCACTATCAAACAACCTATAATTCTTCCCGCTTTTTGTCATATCTGAGTTGTCTAATACACCATTGCTAGTTAGCCCTTAATACAAATATCTAGCACCACACAATATACTTTTTAGGTGGTGTGTCATTGAAATAATATTAGGTATCCTAGTGAGATAGAAAAATATGTTTTTGATTTATAAGACACATGATGAAAAAAGTAAAGTAGGCTTACAAGTATTGTGATATGTATTCTATATTTTAATCTTTCTATATACATCACTCTGTAACTCTATATTCATAATATTTAGTAGTACCATGCTGACTTGGCAATAAGCTCATACACTACCCAATAAAAATATGGTGGGGGGTGGAGGAAGAGAGAGAGAAAAATATATATACAATATAATATAGCAGACTCAAGTTGGAATAGTAGAGTCATAAATGTGTTTTTGTGAGGCGCATGTATACTTCTTGCCCCACCAATCAAATAACACGTTTTGATTGATTGACACTTTGGATAGGTCTATTGGGCAGATTTCCAAAATTGCACCACAGATTAGGAGATACTAAAGATTTAGTATTCTTAATCTCAACTTGCATTCATTTTTGAGATATTTTTAATTCTAAAGTAGTGGATCTTCTGTTTTTTGGAAAACACTTTTTTATCAGTATACTACGTTAATATACCAGTTAAATGTAGTTTTGCTTCCCCAAAAAATATGAAGTGATGCTAATTGACACATGGCAATTTTAGACAAAATCTTTTAAGTATTAAATTATTTGCTTAGAACCAATTCAGCATGGGGTAACTTCATCAATGCAGCTTTCTAATTTTTTCGCCCAATGATTTTAAGCCTCCCTACAGAAAGGAAAGGTTGAAATTTCAGAATAAAGGAAGAACACTTATCATCTGAGTATTATCACTCTAAAAAATATATATATGAATGGATATAATACCCATGCAAGACATACATCATGCAGAAATAGGAAGTTAAAACATAAGATAGATAAAATGATATATTGTTATTAAGTGCATGCTTCAGTTTGAGAAATACTTTGAAAATCCCATCTTGATTGCTGAGTTATCGCTGATCTTGTTAACCCTGGATCATGGGAAATGTTCATACATTCCCAACATACAGTAGATGGCAAAATTTATTGCAGACTGACATGAAACTGTGACCATCAACGACTGAAACTTTTCTCCTGTACGCCACCATCTTGGTTCCACCTGATGTCAATCAATCAAATTTTAAAGCGAAAAATTAACTTTTTTCCCGGACATTGAACAGGATTTGTAATTTCTGCAGTGTAGCGTATGGAATGCATTTTGTTTCGCATGAGTGAGCAACCTACATTCAATCTGCTTCTAGTATACTTTTTATGTACAGTTCTCGTTTCTTTTCTACAGAGTTCAAGAATACTGCTATCCTCTGCTCCCTGTCTATTGTGTATTGGGCTAGTTTTTCTTGGAATTTGTTTTGTAAGGTTTTATCTTCAGAGGAGCAAGTAGTATTTCCCGCTTGAAGTTGGTGTAGGACGCATTGTTTATCCGATTCTAGAACCTCCCTCCTCCTCTCTGCTGCGCTAAGTTCTTTGGCAGTCTAAAAGAAACAAAGGACTCCATTATCGATCCAAATTTTCAAATGTGATTACAATTCAGAACACCATCTTTAGTAAAACCAAATTTAGTAAAATAATAAACTTTTGTGAAAAATGTACAGCAGGAATGTAGTTATGGTAGGTGGAGCCACCCAGCCTTTAGTTTTCTACACAGTCTAAAGCAAATTTCATGGTCCTTCATCCACCCTTATTAATCCACTTTTCCATCCTTAAAATCTATTCTTATTAGTTAGAGTTTGCCAAAGTTATCACCCTCCACCCTTAAAATGTCTGTCACCAAACTTCATTTACCTACAGCACATCCCATATAGAGCAATCGCAATTGTGTAGTTCACAACTACCAAACCTTTAACCTTTATATAGCTTCATAATAGGACAGGAATAAAGGAATATACCAACTAAACAACTTAACATTTTATGATGACTTAACATAATGCAGCTTATATAAGTCTATATAAGATCTTATTTAACATTTGTTTTAAACGATAGGAACCTACTTGTACTGATTGGAAGTTCCTCTGATAATGTAGTACAGCACCAAATAAATGCCAAATGGTAAACTCTGGCCATAACACCTCAGTGAATGATAAAACAGTGTAACTACTCTAAAAAATACAAAAAATATAAGAAATATATAAATATAAATCCATTATAACTTACTAAAATGTGTTTAATTATGATCTAAATTACATTTTTAAAATTATAAGATGTACATTGGTGGTTAATATACCCCTCTTTCACACTTCTTGGTCCTTCTGCAAAAAACCAGCACAATGAAAAATCCAATGCATGTATTAACCCTCAAAATACAATTAAATAATAAAGCATCACATTGTTAATTTCTGTAAACAGCAGACAATTTAACAAGTAGCTATGTTAGTCTAAAGTTTATGACACACACACATGAGCTTGTAGATTAAAATGACATTGGTCTTAAAATGTTGTTTCTGTATTTGCTATTATTGGTTGGGTACATACTATTAGTTACTGTACTAACTGATAGATAGTGATAGAAAGGAATACATACAAAATTGTATAGATTAATACCTATGGATTAATATCTCCCACATGGTCCACTATGACACCCTCTAGAGGCAACAACAACTTACCTGCCACAACAGGAAGTCTGACAGTCTGGTTTCACCTGATGTTCTAATCAGTAAATCTGGATCTTTGGAATGGTTTGTGTATAAGCACTTCTCTATAAGTTCCTCTGATGAGTCACTGTAATTAGCACCAAATATTAATTAGAATAATCATAAAAATCATAAACTACTAAAACATGATATGAAAGTAGGTATGGCTACCTTGATGATGAGTAGCCAAAGTGCATCTTTTAATGCATGCTGAAAATTTAAACATCCTGAACTGTCTACCTTTAATTAGTTCCTAAGCCACTTTTACATTTACACTGACATTTAAATATTGTAAACTGTAGATTAAATGTAGCAGTCCCACAGAATTTGTGAAAATTTAATGTGAAGCCACATATGGTGCCAATAGCTAACTTAATCACTGCCTCGCTCATAGGTGACGCTCCTTTTCACAAGACAAGATACCATGTATAAACTAAGCCTCATTAGTCTAAGGGCATGTTTCTGCTGAATAACGCCAAAAGCACGTGGTTAAATCCCTTCGGAAAGCATTTCTAGTGAAAAGCGCCACTAATAAGAACATGGTAACGCGATGTAGGTGGGCGGAGCTTATAATGACCATCACCTACGGAAGTGGAAGATGACCTTACTTCTTGTGAGCTACAGCGCATGCTGCGAAGGAAGTAAATACCACGCCCAGAAAGTATGACAAAATTATGGTAAGCCTAAAGCATGTCATCCTGTTGATACCATTTTTTTCTTCTCCCTGAATTTCCAGCGAACAAACGATCCAACTAACGAAGAGGTCAATTTGGAACACCGACGGGTCATGCCTCACACGGTAACAACACAAAACGCCAACCCTATGACGAATCCGTGTTAAAACACACATTTTTAGAATGCATTCATAACCATGTTTTTGTTTTTTGGCCCATTTCTGCTGGGGAAAAAGAACATGTTTTTTAATAACCGTTTAATACACATGTTTTTTTGCTCAGCAGAAACTGGCCCTTAGAGAATGGAGTTATTTTTGGTCATGATAACACACTCATAGGAATTTAACCCAGAACGCTGGGGTTGGAAGGCAAGCATCTCAACCACCAAGCTACAGCTACAAACTGAATATAATCATCTCTACACCCTTGGCTATGTGTTAAAAGCCAAACCTCAAGTTTATCTAGACACATCTACCAAAAACATAATGTAATAATGAACTTGCTATGTCAAAGTTCATTACGAATTTACCTTGGAAATAATAATCCACTTTCAACGCCACCAGCTATGTCCTTGATGGCATTTGTGATCTCATTCCTAGAAGTATATGCTAAGCACACATTCAATATTGCTCTACAAAGGAAAAAAAAAAACAAAAACGTCAGCATTATGAGTACATAGTGCATAACATGGTTTGTTTTATTTCTATTGTGCTTCTGGATTCATACAAGACCTTTTGTAAACAAACTCAATGTGGTTCTTCCCCCATTCATTGGATACAAAATATGCAAACTGTTGTAATTGTTGCTAGTTGAGCGTGGTTGTATAATATTGTAGCGTATGGTTTGTCTTCATTCATACTTTTGTGGTTCATATTGATAAAAGGAAAAACCAATTTCCAATGTCATATCGCACAATAAAAAATGATGTATTATGTAATTAAGCAGCAGACCAGTTCAATTTACTAATCCTAATAAGCACTGATTTATATTTCTAGATGAAAGTGGGTCCACAAAAAACAAATCTTAAAATTTATTATTAATAATAATATTAATACTAATATGCCAGATTTATATAGCACAACTTGCCAAGCTAGGCCTCTACGGAATTTGCATTATTACCCCAGCCACTGGTGCAAATACATTAAAGTACTATAGATAAGTAAATGGGTCCACATTTGAGTTATCCCACACTGTTTAAAAATCCTGGCTATGGCATTACATGCAATGTACCAAACAGGGGATTCAAACCTAACACCTTAATGCTCTGTCCAATCCTCAAATGACAAATATATGTGCTACAGTAGGTATCTGTGACAAAGATATCGTGTGGGAACAGAGCTCTAGATGGGAAGCCTAAAGTCTTACTACTGGGCCACATCCATTCTGCGACTGAGCAAAGCTGTGGACATTATCAAATTTTATGCAACAAACACTTGTTATTTGCTCACATAGATGACATCATCATGCCATATATGGGTGTGATTTGACACTTTCATGCCCATATATGGGCATGATTTGATAGTGTGGGCAGAACTTTCCTAAATAAAATTAAGGTGAATTAAAGTTTCAATCCCCGACTATCCTTGCTGTTAACATTCTTACCTTGTATTGTTTCTTGTGAAGTACACTATATCAGCTGCTAGCTTTTGTAGATCCTGGGGTAACCGTGTTATATCTCCTATAATTCTTACACAAACGCCATGTTTTCGAATCTGTTCTCTGAAAATAAAGAGCAAATGCTGTAATCACTAACAATCAGTGATTTCAACATGATAATACAAATAATTGTATGTAATCCGTCTAATTTAACTTTTTAAAAGCAATCCTTTATTCCTATTGCATATTAGCTTTAATTTTTAATTGAAACAAATTTATGTAGTACACTTTACAATTCCTTGCTGATGACTTTCATTTATCAGATGCAAAATGAAACCAAAACAATTAATAGTGACCACATTCTACTGCATGACAAATCTGTAATTTGCATTAAAATGCATGAAATATTTAAATGTCAGCCACCAAAGAATTATAACCACAGTATTGCACAAAACAACAAAGTCTTACTACATACTTCTCTGCTTGAAGCCGATGGAATTTTTCCCTTGCAAGATCCATTATGTAATTCACTTCTTCCTTTGATCTCTTGAAGTTTTCTATACTAAATGCGTAGATTGTTACCTCGTTGATACCTAGTTCCGAACACCACATTAAAGTCTGAAAAAAATATGCAAAAAAATAATTTAATATTACTAATTGCACATAATGGTATTATTTTTTACATTTAATGAATGACAAGATAAATAAAAATAAATAACCACAACAATAACAGTGGTGGATCTATGAATTCAAAATTGGAGACGTAAGAAAATGTATGAGTATGGCACCTCTAGATGACTGGAAATGGCACCCTCAGACTTAAATTTGAGTATAATTTTCTTTCTTTCATTTTTTGATAATAATTTAAAAAATAATAGCAATCAATAACAATACTAAATTTTAGCTTACCTCTGCTAATTTATCAAATCCTTTTGCATGTCCAAGTGTACTGTCATACTGATGCTTCTTGGCGAATCTTCTGTTGCCATCCATGATGATGGCAACATGTTTAGGAATTGGTCCCGCTTTCAAGATACGACAGCAGAACTTGTGAAGCCAGGTCATAGGTGGCAGATCCTTCTCATCCTTAAACACTGTTGCCATTTTTTGTGAATCTGATGGAAGAAAACAAGGGGAGAATGTTAGGCTTGGATGATAATGTTACATCGCAGTGGTAGCTCTAGGATCCCTTTTATGGGGATTTGAGGGGTGGGTGAAGGTGCCTGTGAGGGATCTGACATTTCCAGGGGGAGTTGTGGTTGGGGTCCAGGGGCTAACCACTAGCATCTATAGAAACTGGCTAATACTGGGTCTTTTTTAGCTGTTTTGCAATGTTTTGTAGCATACTATGCCCAAAATAAAACAGGTCCTCGAGTTCCGGCGGCCTTAGCTCTTCTGACCCACACCTCCCGCTACTGTTTTATTGAGAAAAGCAAAATGAAAATATTAGTCATGTAAAAGTTTTTTATACTGATTGGAATGCTGTACATCAATTGAAAAATCCTCTACCCTCTTGATCGATGACTTGATAAAAAAGTAATAGGAGTAATCTTTATGTTTGATTGCATCATTTAGTAATGTACAGTACAACCCTCTTGAGAGGTATCTGGTTGTCTTTCATGATGAAATTGTCAGAATTCTTTTTCTTTTTGTTTTGAATAGATATTATTGCATACAGAAATTTTGAATAGAGTTTTGTATTCCTTAATTAATGGCAAACTATGTGAAACACAAAAACAATTAATTTTGAGCCACTGTGCAAGGTCTTCTTAACACAAATACTTCCTACATCACTATCCGTAAGTTCACAGATAAGGAATGAATTTAGTGCTTTGTTGCAGTGGTTTGTTGAACATGTGCCTGAAACCATACACTCAAAGTGTCAATTGATGATTGATTCACTTAATTACAGTTTTTCTTACATCTTAATTTTTTTTTTTTACCTTATTCAGGAATATACAACACAGCAGGGGCGTAGGGTGTTTTCAGCCTCAGCAGTGGCTGATCCAGGAATTTGAAATAGAGGGGGCCCAGGGAGAGACTTTGACAGATGGAGGGTCTATACCACTTTAGGCCCACCATGGCTGGGGCTGAGGTAAGAAAATTTACAATTATATCACTCTAGATAGCCAGAAATGGCACTTCAGACTTAATTTTGAATGTAATTTTCTTTTTTTCTCCAATTTTTTACAATATTGAAAAATTTATTGGGGGGGGGGGGAGAGCCCATTAAAAAATTATATACACTTCATATAAACACATAGCAAATTATATTTTACACTATGACATCTTTTAATATCCCAAACTAAAACATTAAAATGATAATTTAACAAATTTAATAAATGAACATCCATCCCAAAAACTGGAATTTTTAAAGTGTATCTTCAACTTTAATCACAATAGAAAAGACTGACACTGATGGAAACAATTATCCACACATCAATAACACATTGCAATATAATACAATGTCACTGATTGGCCCAATGTCACAACTCAAAGTCAAATGCATGGCAGGTCTAAAGTTTAAAGTTCAATACAGCAATTTATTATATTCAAAGTACTTATCAGAACAAACTAGGTATACACTGCAACACGGAACACAATGCAATACACAAGTACCATGTGGCAATACTTGATCATAACTATTGCTCCACCACTTTTTTTTACTGTATTATTAATTAACAAATTATTTTTTTCAACATATAGGATCAACCTTTTTCTATAAAATAAAAAAAAAATCTTCAGAAAATAAGTTTACTAATTAGTTATTATGAACTTGTTATGAAGTTTGAATTATGAAGAAAAAAAAATAAAATTTACTGTTAATTCCACTCCATCTAAAAAGTAAAGATAACACAGATAAGAAACCCAGATCCCTGATTGCAAAAGGCACAGACCTTCTAAGTTATACTTGTTGTATGATAAAAGATCAGACATCAGAAAGGAGTGTTTGCTAGCCCTTCCTGGAAATTGTTTGTATGAAGAGAGAAAAATAGGAACACTATTTGAAATTCTATGTATTTCTTATTAATCAAAATCATACAATTTTAATAATTATGTTTTCAATACTTACAGGAAAGTGAAAATTCTATAATTTTATTATCTACTGTAACACTTTGAAAGTAAATATCTGGAACTGGTAGTGTAATTAGCCTAGTTGTACTAGGCTCAGTAGTACTGAAAAACAATTTCTCACGCACAATATGCTGGGATTCTCCTTGAAATGAGAATCTCCTTAGTCTAGCCTAGCCTAGCTAGGCCCTAGCCTAGCCATACATTAGCTTAAAAAAAATTAAATAAAACTAAAGAAGGCCTAGGCCTAGGCCTAATAGTAGTATTGTATAACCTGAAAGAACATGTGAACAAGTGATTCATTAATCATATCTACCTGAAGGCTGATTCACCGGATCTGCAAGAAGCTCAGCTACACAGGCTAGGCTAAAGACAGCAAGTAACTAAAAACGCCGGTAGCCTAGATGGTGGACTTCGACAGGGAGGAGTCGCGTGTCGCTAAGTCCGTATGGCAAACGCTAGCTCGAGAACCGTTGCCACATACTCACAAATCAGGGATTCCCTTTCAACTGAAACTGGGCATGCTCACGCTGACGCAATATCTCCAGCCTGTAAATTAAATGGTAGTCCCCGTGAAATCAAAATAAATATTATTCCGACTTAAAAACAGCAATGTTTTACAGGGAAAATGAATAATACTATTAACACATGTTAATTAAATATTAAATCATATATTCTTTCATATAATTAGTTATTTTGGGTTCGATAATGGAAAATAAAGGAATCACTGAATTGAACTCTTTTTCATCCGTGTATGAATATTTACCTACAACTACATAATTAGTCTTCATGACCTCTACTACTACGGTACTGTTCTTGGTTTATTTTCGCCGCCAGTTTGTGGCGTCTATGTATTGTAAAATTGTATAAACAGGGTATTATTTGGAATAAAAATCTCCATGTCGACAAACATTTGTTTCTTAGACAATGTCTAAACAAGATGATGCCCGTAAAAATGTAAAGGATATTGAGAGAGGTTGGTTTTTACAATTATTTTGTACTCCGATTTTCGCCAGTTCTCGAGAAGGAAGAAAATGACTCCATTTTCGTCTGTCTTTCTCCACAGAGTTGCACTTCCTAATTGTTAAATTTCTAGAAAATGGACCTTGTAAAAAATCAGCAGAGGTAAGAATATATATTAATTATAGTTTTAGTTAGGATTTTATGTTGTTCAGTTTGTAAATATCTGCTCTTTCTTCGCAGAATGTACGGCGCGAACTGGAAGAGTATGGGGTGAGTGAACATCACATTCTACGATATTGTACGACATGTGAATGCTTATTTCAACTAAAATGAATTTTAGTTTTAGCTTATTTTTACACGATATGAAAATATTTTACCATATTAAAAGATACCAATCGCTAGATTTTGAAATGTTCTACAACTTTGAATATTTAAAATTTTGAATTGTCATATTTTCAGTTGCTTCCAAGACGATTTGATTGGAAAGGCAATGAGCATTTGAATAGCTTTGCAAACTTAGTAAGTGAATCTCAAAACTTTGAATTTAGCTCGTATAATTCGAGCAATTATCAATTTTTTGACTTAGATACAGAAATTGTTAAAATGGTGAAAATCGTTGTCAAAAGTCTATATAATTTTATTCATGTAAATTTCATGTGTCAAATATGTTGTTTTATACCCGAAAAATGTATTATTTTACCTAAATATGTCTCATTTATATCTTTTCCTAAATACATCCACAAACCCAGCGAGGTTGATTTGCATTTAATAGGATAGTTGACATTATTTCCTATGACGTTTACGCACAGTGCAGTCTGACCAATAGGATTACATCATATGAATTCCACTTTGACCTCATATCCAGGATACTGGATAAGCTCGGTTCTGATTGGTTGAAATCATTTATGTTGATAGTAGCCGTATTTCAGTAATCTTGACACAGAGGGCTCCATTCCAGGCTGTTTTTATAATAATGTAATTAATGTACTGTAATATAATAGATAACCATTTTCATCTTCAATTCAAGCATTATAATGATAGAAAATAGATGAATCTACATATCAACTTAGCATTAATAGAAAAATAATGTGTTAATCAAGTGAAGAATATTTTGCCTGAGACAAATTATGAGCTAGATTAGTTTATTAAATATATATTAACTATTCATTCCTGTGTTTTGGTTAATCCACAGAGTTAAAAAAAAAAATCTATACTATATAATAAAACAAGTATTTACAATACTATGATTCCTGTAGGAATCATGTGGTCCTGAAATTACAATCTTAATCCTATAATAATTATTCCTTTAATAATAATTGTAAGAAATATGATTTCTATGGAAATTAAAATTTTATGTATGAAATTTTTTAGATAAGTAACATTTTATGTATGAATTTTTTTTTTAGATTTTATTTTACCTATATAAGAAGAAATTACAATCTTAATCCTATAATAATTATTCCTTTAATAATAATGGTAAGAACCATGATTTCTATGGAAATTAAAATTTTATGTGTGTTTTTTTTTATAGATTTTATTTTGCCTATATAAGAATTAGGATTAGATTTTCATATTAACAGTATATATTGATTCTAGGATCATAGTATTCCTAAGGTTCATATAGGAATTACTAGGCCCTATTCTTTTTACAATTAGAATAAAAAGTAAACAATTACAATAAAAAGAGGTTTCGTAAATATTTGTCATATGAAAGAAAAGTCTCATAGAATTCATTCTTATATATTTATAAATTTTAACCTTCTTTGTCAATACAATTTTACCCACACTGTTTAATACCAAGTTTTAACCCTCTAAAATGATTTTCTTTTCAAAATAAATATACAATCTGAAAAATGCACCTTTTGTCATTTAGAGACTGAAACAATTTCTCACCTTTTCTGGGACTGTAAAATCACTATTAATTTCTGGAAAGAAATTAACAAGCATTTTTTATTAGATGGAAGTGAATTGTCCTATAAAGCTGTTTGTTTTGGTTCTCAAACTAATGTTTACATAAACTTGGTTGTTTTACATACAAAGTTTTATTTATATATATGTCGATGTAAGAATAAGAAGCCGACATTGTTCGAATTCAAACAGAAACTCTCCTTTCAAAAAGCAGTTGAAAAGCCTATAGCCCTAGGAAAAATGTGTCTTTCTAAATGGTGTGATGAATAGAACTTAATTAATCTGTGATTTTGTAATAAAATGACACCCTTGTAGTAAATGTGTATGTCAAATAGACGGTTGAGGTGTTACGCTCATTTATGTAAATTTGGCACCAAAACTCGCCAAATGTGACACTTTAAATAATAGTAAATTAAAGTAATAGTAAAAGTAAATGTAATCCAAGCATGCTTGTAATTAATGATTTGAAGATATGCAAGGTAAATTATTATTATTATTATTATTATTATATTATTATTATTATTTATTTATTTATTTTTTTTTTTTTTATTTATTTTTTTTTTATATAGTTCTACTTAAAAGAGGCCTTCTATTATTATATTCCATTTTCTCTATATAGTATGTTACTTATGTTTTGTATAAAGTATAACTTATGTGAGTTTCATTTATAAATTAATGTGATTATGGAAATAAAAGGCTTGGCAAAGAAAAAAAAAGTTTTAACCCTCTTAATTTTAGAGTACAGACATTTTTTATTAAATTTTTAATGTTCACCTTTTTAATGTTATTAATTTTATTATTTGCAATTTAAAGTAAAAGTAAGGCCAGATAAAATAAATTGTTAATTTTACATTGTGTAAATTAATATATTTTTTTTTCTTTAAAGAAATATATAATGAATCTTTGTAATGTATTCTGACATTTATGTTTCCAACTCTTCTTTGACTTATGACAACAATTTTTCAGATCATCATTATTTTTTTTTCAATTGAAAATATAATTGTGTATTGGTTTTTTTTTTTTTTTTTTTTTATAGAAAAAGCAAATAGTTAATTTTTTCATGAGGTGCCAAAATTTGATGAAGGTGGAGATGTAAAACTATCAAATAGTTTCATGAGGTCTAACATGTAGTTTGTAACTACAAACTATCAAATGACAAGTAATGATAGTATTATAAAGTAGTCAAAAAAATGTAATTAAACATTTTAAAAAGAAAAAGAGTATTGTACTTCTTTAATTTAAAAAAAAAATTTTAATCTGACAAACATATTTTAATTTTAGGCTAGTACTTTAAGCCATATAAAGGGAGATCACCTATTGAAGGTATGTGAACGTGTTGGGCCATTGCTTGACCGTGATGTAAAACCCAGTGTCGTAGGAGTTAAGTCGTTGCTTGGGGCAGGAAGGCATTCGCTCTTACGGACAGCTGAAGGTAAGGGCTTTCTCTCTAAGTCATTGAAAAGAGGCTGAGTTGCTAGAGGAAACATAGGGCCTGATACGAATGTAAACAACATTGTGTTATGTGCCATTGACAAAACAAAAAGAATATGATGGCATTGGCTTGGATAAAAAAACTTACAAAACGGAACAAGGCAGAAGAATTTTACAGCTTTCAAAAGTTCACTTGCAATTTACAGGTCTTTATTGCTAGAGACTCATATAATCACAATCACCGAAACCCAGTTCTACAACACCACATGCTAAAAAAAAAAAAAAACTATTAAAAAAAGTTAAAATTCAAGATTTAATAATGCTACTGTGTTGTTAACTTTTTCATTTTTGTGAAAATTTTTTTTCCCCTCTGATTTCACTGTTATACTATTAATTTTGTTTTTTTAATTATATTTAAGATGTGAAACCAAGGGCGTGGCCACTTTATATGCATAGTGCCACAACCAATCAATGTCCCCTTTTTCCACCAAGAAAACTTGGCAGGGTACCAAATATTTGTAAGTACCGTACTACATTAAATCATTTAGTTAATTAGATTTGTAGAGAGGTTTTTAGAAGAAATGTTACTTATCATTTTTTTAACTGGTTTAACAAATGTTTATAATGTCATCTGGAAAGCCATCAAAAAACTGATTAAAATTTTAATTACTAATGTAAAATAATCAAAAAACTTTTTAAATCAAATTTTCCTGATACACAGATTAGAAGTCCAATCCCTTTTCACACTTTTACTACAACAAATTTTGAAGGCTTGTTTCTAAAGGAGTAAGGCTACATTGCTTTCACTCGGGTATTGTAGGCATGTAGGGGACATGAATCGTTCCAAATTCAGCATACAGTTTAGATCTAATTATGCTGATTGATATTAATTTACATAAAAAAGAGCAAACGTTAAACAGGCTTATGTAAGCCAATCAAACCATTTAGCAGCGGTTGTGAGTACTGGTGTGTCAAATTTACATTTTTTCTATTTCTTCCATCATTCAGGTCACGTTCTCAGTGGTCGTAAAAATGTTGGCCAAGCGCGAACTTGTCATCTTCTGCCGTTGGAGAAATATAAGTCAATCTCGCAGCATTTGCGAACGTTAGGTCATCTTTCGTCAGTCTACTGTATCTTGTTTGATAGGAGCGGCAACCGAATATTCACCGTACGTGTCGTAATGTTTCTCATAATTTAATCATTTAGATTTAAATATCATTATGAAAATGAAATTATGAAAGTATAAAATGTATAGGTAACGCTCGTAAAATTTTCAACAATTCTCTACCATTCTACAGGGTGCCGATGACCACCTGGTTAAGATCTGGGGTAGTCATTCGGGCCGACTTTTGGGCACGCTCAGAGGACATGCGTCAGAAATCGTTGACATGCATATTAATTACGAGAACACATTAATTGCTGCAGCTAGTGTGGATAAATTAATTCGAGTCTGGTGTTTACGGACAATGGCACCGGTCGCTGTGCTTCAAGGACATACGGGCATGATAACGTCGCTCGAGGTAAGTGCTGTCATATCGTATTACTATTATACACACTATTTAATTGGGTCAATCCATCCAGCAGATTTTGACCGTTGTGGAACCTCCATACTCAACAATTGTAAGTAGGCCTACATTTTATGGGCTTGATTTTGGTGATGTAAAAGTGTCGGTATACGCTAGAATTTGCCCTCAGTATCTCAGATTAAAAGGTGAGCATCAGAATCCAAGCTAAAATCACTCAAAATACTGACTTGGCTTACCTTTGGCATTGAATATTGGAACATTAGCGACATGCATTTTTATGTCAAGAGTGCATGTTGTATTAATTTGCATTTATGGTTATTAAATTATGTAAACGTTTACTGCCAAACATTCAAGAAATTTATGGTGAGTGATACGTGCAGTTATCCTAGAAGAGGTGAAGCAAAGTCCCCAAAGCTCTGTCCATTCTATCAAAAAACTGTTGTATGCCCATATATAGTCATGATGTGCCTATATATGGTCGTGATGTGCCTATATATGGCATGTCACATGAATTTGTTGGTGTGGACAGGGCTTACCAGGTACAGTACTACCAAAAGTCTTCTTCTATTTTAATCATTTTTTTATTGCATATTTTTATTTTAGATTTTTCGTTTTAACATAATTTTTCTGGCAAGCGAAAATATTTTTTTTTTGTATTCTCTTAATGTACCAATAAAAATAGTTGAATCTTGAACCTTACAGAAATTCTCACATTATCACATATTAATTGTCATTTATAGTTTTATAGTTATAATTTTTTTTTATATATCTCTAATTTATGTATTTATTTATTAAAAATTTCTCACAATACATTTAAATATATATTGACCAAGGGTGTGATTAGATATGATGTGGGTTAAAAAATAGTTTCTTTTTGCCTTTGCTAACAATAATATTATCATTATCATCATCATCGTCATTGTCATAATATCATTCATATGGTTCTTGAGGGAAAGAATTCCTAAATATATGTGAAATGTGGTAGACATTTGCTTCTAGGTACTCTGTTTTATACCATATTTAATTTAAGTTTTATTCGTTTTGTCATTTTTTTTCTTATGGACATGGATTTTAAGCTTTGAAATATATAATGAATTAATAAATGACTGATATTATTGTTGTTCAAATGTTGTTTTGGTGTTGTTAATGTTATTGTTCTTCCTTTTGTTTTTATTTTTCTTGTTATTACTAATTATTTTTAATTTTAATATAATTTTTTTTTATTGTACATTACTATTGTGTTTTGCACTACTGTTATAAATACATTTTAATAGAATACATTCCAACTTCCTATACTCTTTGACTTAAATTATTGAATTATACTGAAAAGACTGGAACATTACTTATGTTAGCTTCATAACGTGCAGTTTGAATTCGGTATGTAAAGACTGCTGGCGAAATTTATATAATAAATAAGTTAGTCAAAAAAATGTTGCCAATGTTTCATTCTAATATTTTGTTCTAATATTCTGCTATCGGGATGTTTATATTTTTTAATAAACAAAAGGATGATTTCTGTCTTACTCTGGATTAACCCATAAACATGACCATCCTGCCCCTTCCGTCTTTGAATTTACTATACCAATGTCTTCAGATTTTTCATATATTTTTCATCAAGTGTTTGGCCTTGGATATTTGTAACTGTGATGTATTTTTTTTTAACAGTTTTCACCTTTGAATTGTGGTCCAGTGCGATACCTGGCCAGCACGGGAACGGACGGCTGTGTCTGCTTCTGGCAATGGAACCCAGCCACGAACACATTCAAGTAAGCCACAACAATTTTTCTAATCTATCAACATTCATGTAAGGCTTTTTTTGCCTAACTTAAGTATTCATGTTATTAGTACCTATGAAACTATAAATACATATATATTTATATCTGTTTTGCAGTAACAGACCAGTTCGATTCCTGGAGAGATCAAGGTCAGGAGCGCAAATGCTGTGTTTGTCTTTCAGTCCAGGTATGGATAATCATAATAATAATCATCATAATAATGATGCTGTATGATTATATAATAAAAATGGCTAATATTGGTGGTGCTATAAACATAGCAACTGCTTCCTGTATTTTGTGACTAGTATAGAATTTGTTTATATACTATTATGATTACTTTCATATTTTTACCCTTCATTCTCTAACAGTCAACGTGTATTAATCATGTTAGAAATGCATAACATTGTACAGTACTTTCTAGACTGCAGGTGCTATACTTTTTATACATTTAACAAGTCTGTACCAAGACGTCTAGTACTAATATTGTAGTTCTTTTTGTTTTGTTGTTTTTGTGAAGAATGATATCCTTTAATTATGTTTGCTTTCAGGCGGTACTTTTCTTGTGACTGGAAGCTCAGATCAGTTAGTTCGTGTTTACATGTTTGCTGGATCAGGACCTGAGAAAATCGCAGAGATTGAAGAACACGCGGTGAGTTTTACGATCAAATCTTAATATGTTGTTAAAATTTCATTGGTTTTCACAAATCTTAATATTCAATATATGTATAATATTCAGATACTATATTTTGTGATTAAAAAGATATAATTCACTTCATTTCAATATTATGTGTATGCATTTGTAATGTGTTGTGTTAGTAAAAGGGATTGCTGCTATATTTACTATTGGCAATCCATGGCTCATTTGCATAAATATATATAAATTAAATATAAATCAAATAAAATCTATTGATTGATCTATTTTATTTTTCTAACGTAGGATCGTGTGGATAGCATTGGCTTTTGCCACGCAGGTGATCGCTTTGTTACAGGAAGTAAAGATGGCACAGCGAGAGTGTGGCGTTATGAACGTCAAGAATGGAAAAGTATGTCTCTCAACATGTCCACCAGATTGCAAAGGTATCTTACTCTACTATAAACAAAGAGTATAAAAATGGAAGAGAGAACAACTCACTTGTTGTGAACGTAAACAAACTATACGCACTTATTCGCAGCTATTGGAGGATGCTCTGCTGTTTCTATGCTCTTTTTAATTAACTAATACTACATTGCGCATGGTTTGTTTAGTTGAGGGCATTAGATTTACTTATTTTTTAAATCATACTGTTGAAATGAGTGTACTTCCTCTAAATTAGAGTACAGCAGTCACATTTCAATGATGATGGTGGCGACTTTCATTGTAACTTGGGAAGTGATGAATTTACAAACAGGATATATGCTCTCTTCCCAAATTTCTCTACTCTTTGACTTAAATTATTGAATTGTACTAAAAAGACCGAATAAATGACTTCAAGTAAGTCTATGATGGATTTCTAACCTGCAGTCTGAAGTCGGTATAAACTGCTGGCGAAAATTTATATAATAAATAAGTTAGTCAAAAAAGTGCTGCCAATGTTTCATTGTACATAGGGTAATCACTGAATTTAACTTTCCATTGAAAGCTCAAGGCAGTCAACGACAGAGGAAAGCAACAAAATTATGAAGAATCGAGTCACTATGATTGGCTGGTCTCTCCTAGACGAGTTTGTTGTAACAGCGGTCAACGACCTCTCAGTCAGAGTCTGGAACTCAAACACCGGCAAGCTACAGTATGAATTAAAGGTAATGACATGAGGAGAGCAGCGATTTGACTTGAACCAGAGACCAAACATCAGTGCAGTGGTGGTTTCAAGGGGAGGCTCAGCCCCCCCCCCCCCCCCCCCCCTTGAAATGTTAAAAAAAAATTGGAGAATAAAAAGATTATATTCAAATTTAAGTCTGAGAGTGCCATTACCAGCCATCTAGAGTTGCCATATTCATAAATTTTCTTACCTCAGTCCCAACAATGTTGGACCCTCCATCTGTGAAAGTCCCTTCCTTGGCCACCTCTATTTCAAATTCTTGAATTGGCCACTGCAGTGGCTACCACCTTCTCGGCCTTTTGAGCTAAGCTGCTTTCATAAAGCTAAGTTGCACTCAAGAGAACAGAGTTCTTTTGAAAATTATCATGTATTCAATTTTTAACCAAATAATACACTAAATCACAATCTGGTTTTTGGTGAAATCTGCTGCATGCGTGTAGATTGTTATTTTGTTATTACCGTACTTTAAATTCACTTTATATATCTATTGCAGGGTCACACAGATGAAATCTTTGTCTTAGAACCATGTCCGTCCGATCCGCGAGTGTTTCTAAGTGGTGGTCATGATGGCATGATCAATCTCTGGGACCTTCAGACAGGTCAAAAAATAAGCAGCTTTTGTAATTCAGTAAGTGTTTAGTTTATATAACAACTCAATCAACAACTTAATAAATTTAAGGGTTTTGTAATTATAATAATATAGAGATTTATACTGTGCCTTTTACCAAGTGATACAAGGTTCTTGCAATGTTGTTATTACATTGTCATCGGCATCATTTCTGTTCATACACACTTATATATCTTGTAGTAAGCTGTTAATTTGTTTTGTGCTGGTTGAACATCCTGCGCTTATCATCCTTAATTAGCTGTTAAATTTAGCTGATAACCTAAAGTTTTTAGTTTCTAGAAGCAACCATTGACTGTAAAATCATATACTATAGACCATTTTATCGGGTTTATTTTGAATCAGCGTTGCCAACGTCTCGCAACTCACTGGGGGACTTCCAGCAGCCTAACCTATCCTGACCAGCTAGCTAGTGTGAAATAGAGCACGAAGTGCGTATTCCTCTGGAAGTTCCCCGGTGGTAGGTGCCAGGTTATCAGAAATTTTCATTTCAAATTTTGTAAAAATGGTCTGTATACGCTACTGATAATGAACGTGTAATGCAGTTTAGATACCAAAACCTTATTACATGATAAATATATATTTTTTTAAATATATGTATTTATTAATTTTTATTCCATGTAGATAGAGGGCCAAGGACACGGTGCAGTATTTGATTGTAAGTGGTCTCCAAATGGTTGGTATTTCGCTTTTACAGACTCTCACGGTCACCTGAGTATTCATGGAATGGGTTCCGGTGAGAACTATAAAAAGGTGAGAAGATGGGTTGCTTGTTCTCAACGTCGTCTACAGCATAGCATGGCTATGGGAAAGACATATAAAGAAATATACCAATGACAACTTCAAACATTGAAAGACAATCTTTTGTGAACACATGTTTCAATACAGGCATACACAATCACACTGGTGACAAACAAATGTTTGATAATGTATGTATGGCTTATTGTCTGCTGCTGGGTTTTTTGGTCCTGGATTCCAATTGTCTTACTTGTATTTGAGAGCCACATGAGTATACTTCTGCTGATCCTGTTTGGCAGAATTGAGAAATTTGTAAATTTTGTATGTCATTGACTATAAAATATTGAAGGCAAAGTAAATGAAATGAAATATGAGCAATTATTATTAAAGCATTTGTAAAAGATAAGTTTCTCCATAAAGGGCAATCCAATACAATGAAACAAAATACAATTTTCCTATGATTATACTTAAGTCCATTTATTTCATTTAAACAAACTATACTATAATAAAAACAATGACTTCTCATTCCTTGATTTCTATTGGCTAAATATACATTCTATACAACATATTTTTTATTTATAGATGCCTTTTTACATTATTTTTTGCTCACATATGTTTATCATTACTAGGTACCATATGAACAGTTCTTTCACACGGATTACCGACCGCTGATGCGTGATGCAAACAACTATGTCCTAGATGAACAGACGCAACAAGCTCCACATCTCATGCCTCCGCCATTCCTAGTTGACATGGATGGCAATCCTCATCCACCCAGCTTTCAAAGATTAGTACCTGGACGTGAGAACTGCAAGGATACCTCATTAATACCGCAGATAGGAGTAGCACCAAATGGTGAGTTTAGATGGTAAAGGGGGGGTTGATTAAAATTTTTTTTAACTGTTGACGTTAAGTTTCAGGTTTGCAATAGATAATAACCTATTGTTTTAACGATTATTGCAGAAAAATACTATGATAGAAATTTTTTTATTTCTCTTAATTGCAAAAAATGAATAAGAAAAAATATAACAAAGTGTGTTATCTTTTCTTATTATTTTTTTTTAAAGGTGAGCCCGGCGTTATTGGTGATGTCCCACGCAATGAAGACCAGCAAGCTGCCAGCATATTAGACACATTAATTATGAGGATGCAACAGAATCAGAATAATCCTGTGGTGGATGAGGACGATAGAAATCAACCAGGGCCATCAAATTTCCACCCAAGCACGCCTGGAAGAGACAGAAACAGTCAGTATTATTACCCTTACCCTTAATGTTTAGGGGGAGGGAGAGTATCTTTTTGAAGCTTGTAAAATGAATTGATCATATAGAATCATTTACCTTACTTCATTTTCCTGATTTTTTTTTGTAGATCATGGCCCTTTAAGTCCGGCCGCTGTATCTCCACGAGGAGTTCGGCGTAGTGGACACATAGAGGGCGTGCGTCAGTCGACTGGTAACGTTCTTGTAAGCCAGCAAGCCTCTCAAGCGGACTTGTTGGCTTGGAGCAGAAGAGTAGTTGTACGAGAGCTTCCGCTTTATGTAGCCAAGTAAGGAATCAGTGATAATCTAAGTTCAGGTTCCTTATAACTCAACTTTGGTTGTTCAGACAAATTGGGAAATATTTCATAGTAAAGCTGACGGAAAAAAATTGTTTTGATCAAACAATATGTAATTAGTGTATGCCTTGCTTTAGACATGTGATCAAATAAAATTATATGTCTTTATGTCTGTTCAAACATTGTTGAGGAATGACAAACCATACTTTGAACAGGGGTGGTGCCAGGATTTGCCTGATGGGGTTCGCTGTGTCTTCAACTAGAGCAAAATGGGTGTGGTCGGATGTGGATTAAAATCTAGCGAAATGATGGTCCATGGGGCAAGCCTCCAAAAACTATGACAGTTTAGCAAATGCTTATTTAATCGATTTTAGAGTCTACTAATATATAATATGTTAAAAAAAAATTTTTTTCTGCCTGACGAATTGTGTATTTTCTGTGGACCTCACTGGCTCACAGCCCCCTGCTGGTGTCAGCCCTAATAAAAAATGAAATCTCATGTTATTTCTGTTGAATGATATAAATGATGACTAAAATTGCCTTATTTTAAAAATGATAGAATGAGAGAACTGAACTGATATTTATTTTTTTTTTTGTAACCTTTAGGAGGCTGGAAGAAAAACGAGAGGCATATCGTGAGAACGAATTAAGTAAATTCAAATCAGAGAAGAAGAAAAAGCCGAATGTCTTGCCAAGGGTAAGCATAGAGTTGCAAAATTAACAGGAGGCTTGGTCAAATACTGCCCTCTACATGGCTTAAATTGTTTGTATTTATTTGCTCAACAGACTGATTCTATGGATTCAATAGAAAGACTTCTTAGAAAGAGAAAGAAAGGCTGCAATATTCATAACTACCAAACAAGGTCAGCTCAAGATGACCCTTATTCATTACCTGGTCCAGGAACTAACAATAGCGGTGGATCAGAAGATGAGGTGAGAGACAATTAGCAATAATGATAAACAAAAGATTTGTCATAAATAGAAATGAATATTGTGTCCCCCTAAAAATGACAATTGTGTGGCCATTATTGATTCTAATTTTCGTTTTTTATTATATGTTAAAATTAATATAGCAAACATTGCTATACTATAATCATGAAAATGTAGAGATTTATTTACTTATTATAGCTCAATGCTATAATTATCTGTAATATTTTATTTTGTTTATTAGGCAGTGTAAAATAACCTGCTCTTTTTTTATTGTAATTTGTTATATTACTGAATGGTATTATTTTAGAGGAAACTGTTTACCGTTTTGTGTATCCAGTACTTGAAATTTACAAAAAATTGTTTTATTAAGTATTTTTGTTTGTTTCAGACTGGTAATAATAGTTTAGTGTTGGAGAGTTCAGAAGAGGAAATGCAGTGGGAGAGCAGTAATTCCAGTAACAGGTAATTTCCATGGCCCTTATAATAAATAATATTCCAGTTTTATATAGCATATTATACTCAAGGAAAAGGAAATGAGGATGCACATGTTGTGTTTATATACAGATGGTTCTATTATTTATGAGGGATGTTTTAGTTAAGGATCAATTTAAATAGTCAGCTGATACAGGTATTCTACCTATATTTTTTAATGGTTTTTCCAATTTTCGCCTGCAGCGATTCTAGTAGTGAGTATTCGGACTGGATCGCTGATGCTGGGATTAACTTGCAACCACCCAAACGGCGAACAAATAGAGTAAAACTGGAGACAGATTCAGAAACGGAATATGAAGCAAATGAAGTCAAGAGAAAAGAGGTACCCCAACGAAGGAAAAAAGAAAAAAGAAAAAAGGTAGTTTTTTTTGTATTTATTTTTGTATTGAAAAACATTAACAGTGTGTAAAATACAAACATGTAGAGGTAAACTACAGTATAACAATATACAAGTATATGTAGTCTAAAACTTAAAATTCTATGAAAACAAATTGCTGTACAACATTAAAATAATGTAAGTTTGGTCTGAAAAGTATTAGTAGATATTAGAATAATAATATAGTTAATTACCAACATTTTTATAACAGTACTTTATGCTATATATTTTCTTTTTACATCTAGAAACCACTGCCACGAAGAGATTTAGAAGGCCCATTAGAACACATGTTGCCTGATGAGTACAAACCTTCGCCCTGGATCACAGACTCAATTCCAAGACGATGTCCATACATTCCACAGATGGGAGATGAGGTCATGTACTTCCGCCAGGGTCATGAAGGTTATGTAGATGCAGTGAAAAGGTTAAAGGTCTATCCTATTGACCCCAAAAAGCAACCATGGCATAGGAGAGATATTAGGGTAAGTAGTAAACAGTGGCAGTCCTACATTTTAACAGTCAATTAACCTGGTTAATGCAGGTGTTAGTCCCACAGTCCCATCTTCTGACAGTCATAATCATTAAACCTGGTAATCACAATCAGTAGTCTTACAGTACCATATTCTGACAGTCTTTAAACCTGGTAATCACATCTTAAATGAAAGTCTTAAGTTCTTATTTTCAAATGGTCAGTAAACCTAGTTACCACAAGTTAAATGACAGGCCCACTTTGTGATGGGTCAGTAAACTATGTTACTGTATATTGCATCTCAAATTTCTTTAAACCTAGTCAGAGGACCTGGTTATTAGGACATTATTGATAGTCCCATTTTTAAACAAACCCCAAATTTCTCACAAGATTTTAAAGTGCTGTTTATTTATTTTGTGTTCTATGATCTACTGTACTTGATTTGTTATGATAACATTTGTAATACAGTATTATATTTTCAATTTCATTTATCTTGTCTTTAGGAGCAAGAGCTTGTAAAAGTCGTAGGTATCAAGTACACAGTTGGTCCTCCAACTTTAGTTGGTCTTAAATTAGCATTTATTGATCCAGAAACAAGAAAACCTACAGGAGAACATTTTCTTATAAAGTAAGTACAGTATTAAATTTGTCTTATCTTTGATATGGTTTCTAAGATAGTATAATGCATACCCCAAGTATCGAAGTGCACATCATCGTGGTTTCTATGTGCTTTGAAAAAAGCTAGTTTTTATCTCCAAACAACAAAATCAACCTACATATCCACGCCAACGTGGTTTCTATGTGCTTTGAAAAAAGCTAGTTTTTTTCTCCAAACAACAAAACCACCCTACATATCCATGTTATTACTAAGAGGTTTCATTAGAAACTTCACTGCTTTTAAGTAAATTTAGAAAAATTAACCTGTAACTTACAGCCTTATTGTGCTGAGTTAGCATATGGGCGTGACCAGTAAAATATCCCAGTTGCCATAGAGATGCTCTCAGTAGTAGTCGCATTCTTCCACAATGAAAGTAACTGATTTAAACCAGAACACTGGGTTATATATACTCTTCCGAAAGCTGCACTGGATTCTTTAAAGTATACACAGACCTCAGTTTTTGAGTCCTTAACCAAGAAGACATGGTTCTTACAACTGAACCATAAGCAAAGTACAGTAATTGGGTCTGGAACTACTGTACTCTGATTTTAAGACAGTATTATATATTGCAAGCATCTCTGTCTTACCAATCCACCACTTGTGTGTAATTTATTAATGAATTGATAAAAATTGTATTTTATTGCACTTTTTCCAGAGTAAGGCTTTTCAAGTGAAACTGATCGGGCACTATTGTATTAGTTTCACTCGAACATGTGTATGGTAAAGGTAAAAGGATATAAACAAACAAGCAAAGCCTATTATGTATTCTGTGTTCAGTTATTACCTTTCACATAGACATGCACAGTATTCATTTGAATTGCAATTCTAATTCCTTACTCCACAGACATCCCTGAAGAAGTTGGTGGCAGTGTCCCATTGAACGATGAAGAACTCCGCCAGATGTTGTACTCTCCAGAAAATGGAGAGTGGGGCAAGAGAGACCAGGACACCGAATGTGATAGAATCATAGCTGGGATAGATCAAGTGTTACTCCTTAGCGAGGCAGAACCTTTTAGTACGCCCGTGGATTTGGATCAATACCCGGCTTACGCTTACGTTGTTCCATATCCAACGGACTTAAATAGCATCATGTCAAGATTGGAGAAAAGGTTCTACAGGTAATTAAAAAAAATTTAGTTACTTTGAATTGTATGTGCACAGTCAGTGGCATATCTAAGATATTGGGGGTAGAGGTGGCTGATGGGGTGCAAAGGTGAAGTGGAAAACTTGTTGATTAAGTGAGGGGTACTAACTCGCAAAATAGGGTGATATGTGGTGATATGCACCTCCCATTTCTCTTGGAATTATAGAATTGGCAAGTTAAATGAGATTTGCCTCTGACAACATTATAGTTAAAACCCATGTATATCTAAGAAACCTATTCAGGAATATTTTGTGTATCCTGCAGACAACATCTAGAAACCCCTCTGAGATAAATTGTTGTATCCAGTAAACCACAGAATATCTGAAGACACAGTCTTCTTGTATTAGTTTTCCTAGTTATACAAAACCAGGATTTGACCTTTCTTAATCTTTATTTCTTCAGGAGAATATCAGCATTGATTTGGGAGTTACGACTTGTAGAACAAAATGCAATAACATTCAATGAGAAAAGCAGCATGATTGTGAAGCAGGCTGAAATAATCACCAAAGTATTACTGGAGTTCATAAAGTAAGAAACCTTGTTTTTTCAAAGCAAGCCCATGCTTATTGTTTACAAAATATAGAAGTTATGTCTGATCATTGACTCTTCCATGTGGTATAATAATCTAGTAATTATAACTCTATTTTTATGAGCCAGATTGGGATAACATCAAGATTTAACTTCGTTTTCGGATATTACTCGTAATTGCTGGTGTCAAAACATTGGGCCATTTTTGTTTTTACTTTTGTGTTTGTTGCCCACGATTGACTCAAAATTTGTAACTTCTAGGGTTGGCTTTTTTCAACCATAGATTTTAACCTTGTGTTTAGAATTTCACAAACAAAAGATATTGGGTGAGTGTCGACAATAAACCCTAGAACTAGGACTAGAGTAAAACAAAATTGCTTACCTACAAACCTTTGTTATCAAATTAATATCACTGCTTTGGCAACAAAAATTGTTTTTTCCTTTAACAATATCTCTCCCACTTCTCCCTTCTGCATTCACCGCTGAGCTGTATATTTTAATAATTAGTATTATATTTTTCTCATTCCTAGTGATGATGGTTGTGATGATATCATGACGTTGTACAACCGGTTGTCAGCTGATCAAGACGAAGATGTTATGGTTGATGTTGATGATCTATCGGACGAAGAAGTTGAACCCTCTTCAAGCAATAAAAGGAAACGAGTAAGATGCAACATTCTTACATTAATTATTTTAAGCTCTGTCCAAATTATCGATTTTCTTTGACAAAAACCTCTTGTATGCCCATATATAGTCATGATGTGCCTATATATGGTCATGATGTGATGTTATGACCTTATTTAGGCATGTCATATGTTTTTGTTAAATAAAATTTGATAGTCTGGGCAGGGCTTTATTTTGAAATGATATTCACACGTGATAATATGACAAAAATCATCCCTCTGTATTGTTAAAATGTAAATATCATGAGCTTTCTGTATTGTGATTGGATGTATGACGGAAGATGACTCTTAAATCCTACTGTATATGAGGCAGTTATGTTGAACATGTTTCGAGAATGTCACTGAATATAACAACTGCAGTTGGAATATGTGGAGCTCAAATCCTGTGAATTACTCAAAAACAACTTCACTCCAAAGCTAGGCACTTAATGCGCTCGACGATAGTCACCGACTTGATTGTAAGAACGCCACGAGGCGTGCGCGACGGATCACTTTTAATGACAATCCTTTCAGACTGTCACCGACAATCAGCAAACGGCGTTGTGTCGTCAAACACTCACATAGAGCGAAGTCGGATTTGCCAGCCATTGGTTATACGATGGCAATGAGTGCCTGGTATTATATTATAGAGTATAATTCCATTGCAAGTGAGTGTATTTGCTGTTTAAATTTTAAAAACTGCTACACTATACTGTATATATTTAATTTATTTTATTATCTTTCTGTTTCCCTCTAAGGGTGATGACACAAGTTCACATAAACGGGTTAAAATGGAAAATCCATGTTATAACAGCAAGGCATGGATGCAGCAATGTAAGGAGCTCTTGCAGTTTATCTGGGAAAGCCAGGATGCTGAGCCATTCCGTTACCCAGTGGACCAGTCAATATATGTGGTAGGATAAACACTCTTTGATGACATGAATAGCAGTAGTTAATGGGATCCAACAATTCTGATAGAGAGTTCAAAGCCAAGGGGTCGTCTAAAGCGTCAGTCAGGGTCTGGGAATAAAACCCCTGGTAGAGTTCACAGGGAGTGCTTTTTTGTTTTAGTATGGCTCAAAATTGTGCTTTTGGACCAAAATATTAGAGATTGGCAATCACATTAACTTTGCTTATCCAACAACCTCGTTGTGGCGTCGGACAATGTGGGTGGGGGGGGTGGAAATGGGGGAAATGTTTAAACAAAAGGGCAAAAAAAGGTTTAATATCTTTATACAAATCTGCTGTTTTTTCAGCTATAGGTGAATAAAAAATATCTGGTTTTGTTTTTTAACATTCATCACATATTTCAATAATTTTTCTGTAGGATTATCGAGATATCATTGACGTACCAATGGATTTGAGCACAGTCCGTGATCAGCTGACAGCAGGCACTTACCTCAACCCGGCAGAACTGTGCAAAGATGTACGCTTAATATTTACCAATGCAAAGAACTACACACCAAGCAAGAAGTCTAGAGTATGTAAAATTTGTAAATATTTTTCTCCTTTTTTTAAATTGTTTGGTAAAATCGGTGAATCTTTATAGATTAATTTAATATAAGGTTTAGGGAGTGGAGTTGTGTTCAGGCATGGGGTTAACCAGGGGCGGATCTAGAGATGTCCGAAAGAGGTAGGTGGGGGCGGGGGCTGATCGAGAGACAACACTCTTTAGATGCCTGGAAAGAACCTCTGAGGCACTGTGGGCAATCAATAATTTCTTTTTCTTTTTTTTCTTTTATTTTTTACTTTCAGGATCCCCCCCCCCACCTCCTAAATCTGCCCCTGTTAACAAGCAGCATGAGAAAGAGATGGGTAGATAAGCATCTACCTCCTGGAAAAAAGCCTAAAATATTCAATTGAAAAATGTATTTGATTGTTTAAGAAGATCAAATAAGTCAACTTCAAATGAGTATAAAATCAGCTCCACTCCCATGACAAACACTACCACATGATGAAAGATTGATTTTGATTGGTGGAGAAATAACAGTTGAAGCCAAATGAGAAAGCTTTTTGCTTTTATCTTTGAAATAGAAATGCTCTACTGTTTATGGCCCTTCAAAAGAATAGCCAAATCATAAGCATTTTTTGATGGTATATTTTAGTAATATATTTGTTTTTATTTTGTATAGATTTCTGGTATGATATTGAGATTGTCTGCATTGTGGGAGGAAAGAATCCGTTCAATTCAAGGAGATTATAAATCGGCCTTGAGGTATGAAAGACAGGTTGGAAGAGGTTTCCGAAGGTAAAGGTCTCAGTTTTTGAAATATTCCTAATGTTTGTATGTGTGTGTCAGATCAAAAGGAGCTAAATGTTGGCTGCCAAATTTCTGTATTGAATACTAAAATTACACATCATTCTGATTTGACTGACAAAATTCCCCTTCCTCCTGTGTTGAATACTACAATTCCCCCTCCCCCTCTGAATTTTGACTGCTAAAAGTCCCCTTTATTTTGTATTAACTGAAAAAATGTTACAGTATTTTCTGTTTTGACTGAGCCTCTGTTTTTCTGCAAAAGCCATGGATCCCCCCCATAGAAAATGACAATGATGTAGGTGAAGATAAATTTATTGTTTCATTTTTACAAGTTAAAAAAAAAAGTCGATCAGTCAACAAGGAGGTAAATTTTGCGGATTTAAATTGTTTCAGGAAAGTTGACCGAAAACAAGAAAGTTACAATGATGGGTCCACTAGCACGTCATCTATTTACAGTACTATGTCCAGACGTCCTTCTCTTAGGTTTAAAAATAAAAACAAAGTAAACCAATCCAGTTCTCAAACACACTCCAGTAAAGAACAGACGAATCATGCACCTGTAAAGGAGGAAGAGGAGGAGGAGGAGGAAGAAGAAAAACCGCAACCACGTATCAGGGTCACTCGCAGTAGTAAAAGTATGGATCATATTTTCCATTGTACTATATTTGTATAATATCGTCAATTTTGTAAATAACTTTTGTACCTGGTTACGCTGTCAATTGCGAATTTTTCCAAACATAACACCCTTGAAAGAAGTATAATCTTCTTCCATTGTGTAGCTGTTGTTTAATTATTGGTTTTTGATTTTCTTTTTGAATTATGTACAAGAAACTTTTGAATTTTTTCAGCCTTTTTCTTTATAGTGGATTATTATTTCTTTTATTATTGATTAAATTTCAGCGGTTGTTCATAATGATGATGATGATGAAGAAGATGATGATGACGATGACGACGATGATGATGATGATGAAGATGAGGCAGACGATGATGAAGATGATGACGAAGAAACAGAAGTTGAAGAAAGTGAGGAGGAAACACCACAACCAAGACGGATGAGTACAAGATCAAGTGATAAAATATCACCTCAAATGACGAGAAGCAAATCAAGTAAGTTCATGCAGCCTTTATCTTTAACAATGTAAACATTCTGAGTTGCATGTCCTGTGATTGGTTGATATGCAACAGAATTGTTGCAGCCCAAGCATGGTGACTTGAAAGTCAGCATTAATCAGTGTGGCCTTGTTGTTCTGTTCTCCCCACCCCCAACCCCAATTATATGGTCTAGGCCTAATTCTAGGATTCACTAATAACCATCACACACCTCTTGCATCTTGGTTGGTAAAATGATAACCACATGACTAAAATTCATGTTTCAGTTTATCAAATTTATTAATTGAAGCTTTAAAGTTGCTGTTTGAAACATTATTTCGGCCATTTTTAAGGGAAAACAATATTTGTGGGAGAAAAAAGTGGTCACTAGAATAAAATAGGAGACTATCATTATACTAACTCGATAAACTAGCATACCCAAGCACTGTCTTTTGAGTATAACAGTGACTTCATTTATAACATTCAATAATTCCTCACTATCTAGATATTTGTTACTGTAATTGCACTGTGAATTTCCTTAAAAAAAAGTTACAAAAATGTGTGCTCCCCTCTATCAAAATGTTGGGAATAATTCTTGATAAAAAACATTATAAATATATATTTTTTTAAAGATCCAAGTGCTTCAACAAATGGATATAAAAGCCAGAATACAGGGAGGAGAGGAAATAAGAAAAAGATTGAAGAAAGTGAAGAAGAGGAAGAATCCGATAGAAACAGTTCTTCAGCATCAGATCATGAAGGCAATGGTCATGAAAGTGACACAGAAAGTTACAGTTCAGATGAAATAACTCAAACTGTTCAAAAGAAGTCAAAAACTGTGAAAAGGACACGGAAACCTGCAACAAGAAACGTTGGAAGGCGATCCACTAGATTAAGAAAACGAATCACTTCAGCTGACTTTGAGTACGAGTTTCCTAGAAGTGCTAAAAACGTTCCAAAAATGAGAACCAGAAATGCTGCAAAAAGGAATATAGTTCGGGACGATAGTTCCGATGAGGAAAATTCCTCGGAGGAGAACAGTAGCGAATCCGAGTCAGAGCAAGAGATTATACCTCAGAGTGTTTCGAGTAGAGGGCGAGTTCGACGATTAACCCCACGTGCAAGGGCAAGTTTAAATGGGGACTAGTTTTTGAAAAGATAAAAAAAATTGTCTACCTCGTCATGTTTTTGAGTGTGAAAGCTGATTGAAAGTTATTTGTTGAAAAGTTTCTTATGATTCTTTTCATAATTCATGGACAGTTTTTGGAACTGTTTCGTAAAGTTTTCTTTTATAAAAACATTCTTGTATAACTAGTTCTAATGTTACTTCATTTAATGATGTGTAAACAGGGGCGGATCCAGAAATGTCCAAAAGGGGGGCCGGAAGCGGGTGCCGAAAGTTGGGCCGATTGAGACAACACTGTCGTAGGGGGTCTGGGGCATGCCCCCGCGAAATGTTTGTGTTCTAGACGCACGAACATAACATTTGAGGCATTCTGGGCTATCAGTTTTTTTCTTTTTCTCTCTTTTTTTTCTTTTTTTCCCCTTTTTTACCTCCCAAAAGGGAGGGCCGGGTCCGGGCCGGCCCCCCCCCCTAAATCCGCCCCTGGTAAATGTTTCGTTTCCAAATTGATTTTGGTTCATTTATATAAGCTTTAAGAATTCAATTTTAGAAGAATTTTATGAGTTTGCCTGAAATTAATTGAAATGTTTTCAGTTATTCACAATTTTGAAAAAAATAATTTAATTATTAATTTAATTAAAGGAATATCCCTAACTATAATTTTTTTAATATATTTCGTATAGGCCTAGCCAAAATCCATATAAAGTACTGAAACTCCGGAAAAATAACGAGGCGGCAATCTCCTTTCTGTGTTAGAATATTGTCAACAAATATAGAAATAACGACTATCAAAAAAGAAAGCAAAGAATTAATAGGAACTGACCAATGAGAAACCGTTTAAATATTGAATAAACCAATCGAGTGAATCCTTATAATTATGCCGAATCTATGGCATAGCCTACTGCAATAATATCAACCATCTCAATTGTGAATTTAAAAAATTAGTATTGGATTATACATAATTTTAAATTGTTTCTCTTTGCTCAAATTTTAATCTTTTGTTACCCCCTTATTTTCACCGTATTTTATTATTGGTAATATTCTAAGAACGAAAGGTGAACAGGTTATTTTTCACAATAAGTATCGTCAAAAAAGTATCTGTGCTGCCCTCTGTCGTTCTCAAATATTGTCTACAAAGCTGATGAATTTGGGGTAACAGTCGGCTGAAGAACAAGGGCGAAATGTTTACATAACCCTTCTATTGCTGTTAAGGTATTTTAAAAACTATATTAGGATATAATTCAATACTGGTGCTCTTGTAGTCGGTGCGACTAATGTCTGCACTAATGTAACTGAGCTATTGAGGTGAGGGAAACTATGTATGCAGCGGCCCTAGGTTTTGGACTGCACCATGCACCACCAAAGCAAACTCATTTACACGTACTTGCCACGCGCCAAAAGTTTGTCAACGTATTCGTTCTTGGATTCAAGGAATCAATTCACAGGCTTTAATGGTCTACGTTGTGTTTCTGTTGGTCTACTTTTTAAGGTGTTTTTCTTTCAGCGTTTACACTTTTCGTTATTTTACACATTTTTGCATACCTGCTGTTACACGGTGCAGTAAAAAAAATCCTCATGTTTGTGTAACAACTGTGGGTTTTTTTTTTTGTTGCTTGTATATTGGAATTATTTCCCCAGCCATAGGTGTGCCAAGACTACTTTTTACAGTTCTACGTTTCGAGATTATTTTGTCTATGAACCTGCACTGGTATGTCAAATTATTTTAGTTACGGTACAGTAATTGAATATGTTTTGGTCAGATTTGTTTTTTCAAAGACGTGTTATTTTAAAGTTTCCTAATGATGTTTATGATCACCCCGAAACAAACGTTTTTATTGTAGAAATGTTAAAGAATTTATGCCTTAAATATAGATTAAGGGGCTTAACGCGATGATGTAGCATAGATTTATCATTAGAATTTCTAAACGGGTCTTATTATTGGTATTATGCACGTTGTATAAATTATACATAGTGATTTTTCATACATTCCTTTGTACTCAAAAGCAAAGTGCAGAATAAAAGTAACACACAATAAAAAAAATTACGAATATCTTATGCTATATTTATTGAAAACATTGACGACGCCCTCAAAGATTCTGTTCCTACCCTTCACATTCATTACTCTATACTATTTGCAAAGAAAGGGACAGAGGGATAGGCCGCATGTTGAAGATTAATGGTGTGAACTTACGTCTCGGACATTTGTTTAAAAAGTGTGGATGAGATGGGATATATTATTTTAGTATTGTATATTATGATGGTGACCTATCCAGCACCTTTAAATTGGGGGCGCTTGTTTCGTGTCTATGCATTGTTTTTGCATTCGTATTATTAGTTCAGCTACATTAGTTTATTAAATAGTCTAAGTATGTTCGCTAACCTAATTATTCTCAACCGTAAAATCGCAACCACAAAAGAATTCTTTGCTGATGAGTGGGCATTGATATTCAGGCTGACTGATCGTCAACTGGGAAGCTTCTAGGTCTTTATCTTAATACTCATTAATAGCCGTCGCTGTTTTGTCTTTGTTCATGCTGCAAGTGGCAATTTAGGAAATTAACTAGATCATTAGCCTCGACTTTTCCCTGCAATCCAGCGTAATATCCTGTTTATTTATGCCTGAATGTTTAGTCTCAGGGGCTCCATTAGACCCATATGTCGGCATGGTGTAGGGCCTACCGCTGCAGAACACTCGATAAGACTGCTGTCGGTGGGTCTAGATGCTTCCACTTCAGGGAACCGTGTCATGTGTACTGAAACTCATTAATTACCGGTATATCTTAAATTATCATAATTTCCTTCTATTCTGTGGCTACATTGTAACTAGAAAATCACCATTGCATCTGCACTTCTAGGCCCATTATAACGTATGATCACGGATGTATAAAATTATCCAGAAATATATATTTGAACGAATGTTATGCTCTTGTCACAGTAAAGAAAGTAACCGTACCACCCTCAGACTTTAATATCCAAATATGATAATTGCTGTCTAGAGGATTTGGAGCCCTGAAGCAAGCTTCCAACAGAGCGCCCAGACTTTGATTGATCGATGTCTTCATTCTTCTTGACAAAGTTTAAGGTTCATTTTTAGCTCATTGCTTCAAGCATTGAGTAAATACATGTCTGACTTGTACTTCATGTAACACTGCAAAGAACCTCCCTCTCACCGCCCTGACGAGTCTGTGATGATAGAATTCTATCAATTATTACACCTAACATTTAATTTCAATGACGTGGCATAAGTATTTACCATTGCTAAGCTTTTGAATATAAATTATTGTAGATACTGTATTAACTAACAATGGCAATGCGTGTGGTGTTCTCGGTCAAGAAACGTGCCGATTGTATTTTGTGTATTTGGTCTTCAATGTGTTGCCCCAGTATAGAAATAAGTAGGCCACTGATGCATTCGTCAACCAAGTGACCCTGTCCTTAACGAACACACAGTGAGTTATGGAACGTCAATTTGCTGTGCGTTACCGTCTACAATAATGTATTTACCGTCTGCCCCATTCAGTCTACTATTTGTCAATATACCGTTATTTCATGATAATAGTCACCAGCGAAGAGCCAAGCTGAGTGATTGGCGGGATAACTGGACCGTGACCTTAGGGTCTTTGGGGCATCGTTTTCAGTTATACGGGACCCAAGGGAGTAGACAGGGGACCAACAAATGTTTAATGACAAACACCTCTACTAAACATACTATACAGACTGCTGTAAATATATACAGTAGATTATTAAGTTATGGTGTATACCTCATGGTTACATGATTAGGCTTACAGGAGTCCTACATGACAAGTCAAGCGTCTAAATTTTATTTTGATTAGATAAATTGCCTTATGTGCCTAAAAATTAAATAGTTTTTGTTTAAATATTTAAACTTCGTAACTTTTTACTCAAAAGCCCTCAAATTGTAAACCGCCGATTACATCTACTTACATTGTTGACGCCAGGCTCCGAAGGAGAACAAATTTGTGATAATGTCGTACAGCTGATATTTAAGACACAAAAAATTGTTTGATGAAAAACTCGCGAACTGTTAATTAGATACAGATTTTTTAATGTTTAAAAAATGTGCGGAAAAGTGGAAAAAAAGGATGGTTACGATAAGGGCTCCACCAAATTGGGCCAGAGTTGCAGTCGCACAGTCTCGATCAAATAATGGTAGTTGACAGTCTTAAGCCTGGCTCTGGAGGGAAAAAATATTGTTGATATGTTGTACAATTGTTTTTCTAAGCCACAAAAAGCGTGTTTGAAGAACAACTCGGAAGCAGTGAAAGAGATACAGATTTTTTTTTCATATTTTGTGTAAAATGGGTCAACTTTTAAGAAAATGGGCCCAGATTTCTCATATTTGCATAAAATGTGTCAACTTTTAAGAAAATGGGTCCAGATTGTTCATATTTTGCATAAAATGGGACCACTTTTAAGAAAATAGGTCCAGATTATTTGAATTTACACGTAAAGTGGGTCCACCCTGATATTTTTAAACTAGGCTTCTGTTTGAAAATCCCAGCTACGGCATCGGTTGTGTCAACATATCAAACAAATATTTTCCTCCTGAGACTGGCTTTAACAGAGTAGGCTAAAAACATTTAGGCTTAGGCCTACGCTATAAACCATGTTCTCATATTGGTGAGTTTAGTTTTTAAACAGGCATAGTCGGCCTCTGTACGCATTATGATGAAAATATTATTTTGTCGTTCATTAGAGGCTTGCGCCGTCACACGATATGTACAACCCTTTGTTTGAAATAGGCCTACTAAAGATATACCAAGTGCCATCATCTGGAAAACACCTTATCAACCTATTTGCCACATAATGAGAAACCTAACAGAAGAAAGTGTACTTGACGATAATCAATACATGATATAAATAAGCCGTTGCTTTGTCTCCAAAAACGGCTTAATCAAAAGAATTCAATTGAATTGCGATGAATGTTCTACAGATGATAATGTCGGAATTCAAACCATTTAGGGTTTGAACCATTTGACCTGATGATTTTTTAGTAATGTAGAAAACCTCCAGAGTCCCATATGTTTTTGAATATCTATATAATAAAGTGGTTAACTTAGCAGGCTATGACATATACCTGTATCTCTGTAAAACCACTACTGACTGTCTGGTATAATCGTATTAATTATGGAAGTTTTTTTTGTTTTTTTTTTTTTTTAAGATTACGGTATATTCATGACCCTGTGATGATTGGTCA